CTCTACAATTCTTAGAATTATAACATAAATGCATTGTTTTTCTTTAATATAAATGCATTATTTTCTGAAAAAACATGAGTGAGATTAAGGCCTTATTCGGGAACATCTTTTTAAATAACTTTTAGTATTTTGAAAAAGCTATTTGTTTTAGGGTATGTTTGATAAAATTAACTATTTTAATAGTTGATAGCTGTTTTAGTAGTATTTAGCCGTTAGTTATTTGAGTAGTTTTGCATAAAACGTTAAAAGCTAAACGTTAAATAGGTTAACTTTTTACATATAGCTACCTTAAAATCTAAAAGTTGATTCAAATACTACGTTACCAAACACTATAAAAAATAGCTTTAGTCAAAAACCTGAAAGTTACTTAAAAAACTGTTGTCGAATACAAAGTATTTAGTAACGTATCGTTTGAACTAGTTTTTAGAGATTAAAGTAGCGTTTTATAAAACATCAACTCCTATAACGTTTAACTTTTTGTGTTTTATGAAAAACTATTCAAACAGCTACTAGTCATTTAAATAACTAAACATTACTAAAATAGTTAATAGCTACCAAAACAACTAATTTTATCCAGAGGACTCTAAATCAAGAAAAGAGTATAAGTCATTGAATGTATAAAAAAAAGTGAAAACAATGTTGTTGGCCTTTGACTCTAACTATTTTGACCACCAAATATAGACATGCTTAGAAAAGAAGTCTCCTCTAGAAAATACCCAGCTAATCCAACAAAAGCCACTAAAGCAAACAAAGCAACAGTAGCAACCTTCCCTTTTATGGTCCACTAAATGGGGTACAAAAGAGGCATAAAAAGTTCTATCTCCGCAATCATTTGAATTATGGGATCCAACGTTCCACAATTGAGGGCCGAACTCTCTTTGCCTCTCCTCCATTTCAAAAATATCTAATGTGTTTAGCTTCTTCAACTGAATATATAAATATTAAAAATTTATGACGTAAAAATTCCAATTTAATGCTATTGAAGTCATCTTTCAAAATTAAAAAAAAAAAAAAAATTTCTAGTTTTTTACCCATACATAATACGTTGGAAATTTTCAAGTGACTAATAATTGGAGTCCTTGGTTGTACATTGATGGATTTAAATTTATTCAATATTAGATTATATCATAAAAATTTAATAATATAAAACATGCTCAATTTTGCACACTTTTTAAATTTTCAATAATTATAATTTTTATAATTTAATTCATAAATTACTAGTTTTATTTTAGTAGCATATAACAATTATCCAAGTATATGTCCATAGCTAACATTGTCCCAATAAAATTAAAGGTAAATATAGACATCAAGTTAATTTAAAAAGATTGTATTTCTTTTCGACTTTAAAAAGAGTTATCTGGATTTATTGTTATTCATTTCTTAAAATATTTTATCAGATATAGTTTCGAGTTATTGTTATCATTATTACGGTGATCTTATCTAGCATTTTTTATTATTTAGATAATTATGCAAAAAGAATAGTGCATATTTCCTCTCCAGTAGAAGGAAGAAATTTGAAAGTAATCAGATCGGACTTATAGAAAGACCATGAAGTCGAACAATGGCTATTCATGTTTTTAATTTTTTGTATAAGTGGTTTATTATTAGACTTCCTATACACAAATAAAAAAACACATTTATCTGTATCTCATATTTGTATACAGTTTTCATGATCCATTGGAAATCGAACAAGGAGTATACAGTATCATGAGAGGAGTGAGTTTTGTTGATAAATTTTAGGTAATAGGGAGTGGATATTAGGATCATTAGGCGAGATGGGTACATATAACCAATTAAAAGAAGGCGACAGTGTAATCAGTGTGAAGTCTGCCAGGAATTTGTGAGATATCAGGTTATTCACGACTAATAATGATTTCTTTCATTTTCTTCGGTAAGAAGAAAATTTTGCAAAAGTGTGGAGGCATGATTCTTGAATAGGTTATTGAGTAGCTTCTTTTAAAAGATCATCAATAAAAGCAAGTGGAAGTTCCACAAATATATATGATAGATAATTGAGATAGAATAGGTCTTACACGAGTAGATATTTTTACTCGGTAGCATGAAGTAATGAGGAGGGATGTTGGGAAGATTAAGTGTCTCAAAAAGGTAGGATTCAAATATGCGACGCGTAACGGCAGGAGGCACTTTATCTTGTTTATGGTTATGACCACAAGGGAAGCCGAGGTGGCGAAGCAAGAAGTGGGTGACTATGACGAGGCGGTGTGGAGGGAGGCGAAGAGGTACGCTGTGAATAGTATAAGTGGAGGAGTCGTAGTACACACAATTAAGATTGCGTACACAGGGGTGGTCACGTGGAGACGATCGGTATTATATAATGTTGAAGTAGGAGCTACTGCGGGATGGTGGAATGCAGTTGGAGATAGTTATATGTGAACTAGAATGAAGAGTGTAGTTGTAAATCTTATTAGAATGGTGTTGAAAAGAAAACAGGACAAGGTTGTTTGTTTATCTCAAATTCTAGGAATGAGAGGGCGTATGCGGTGATTACAAAATGATTGTGTGTGGTTGTGGGAGAATTGCTTAATGGGGGAAGTACGGTGAATAAGCGTTATGAGTAACTAAGCGCTCAATTATTGGATGATTTATTGGTGTCTATGGCGATATAGCACATCTGAGAGCAGTAGAGATAGCGGATGAGTCTGGCGTTGTGATATGTAATGCTGTGAGGTCGGAACGTGGTGATGATGAAAGGACTACGATGGTTGTGCATTTTCCATGTTTTTCTGTTCTCTGTTCAGAGATGTATTTTGTTTAGAAGGCTGAATCAGGAAGTTAATCGAGAGACACATCTGTGTTTAACATCAGTCGGCAAATGTGGCATTTACCCGACATCAACTCACGGGCCAATAGTGGACTCGGCAAAAAACATTTATAAGTGTCGTAAGACGCGATCTCAAAACCGATCAGTAAAAATGTTCTTTTGTATTTCCTGGCAAAGGCAGAGTGTAACTTTTTTTTTTTTTTATCATTGTGTTTTTTTTTGATTTGTTTTTCTCTTCGTCGACAAAAAACACGGACACGTAATAGGTGTAGAAATGAAAGGGCTAATCTATTCCATACGAACATGACCAATACTTTGTATTTTAAATCCACTAGGCAGGGTTTAAACTTATAGCATTATTAAATGTTCCAATGCTCATATTCTCTCGGTTAGATGAGAAATGAGAGTGTTGACGAGAGATGCATTGAAGAGGATGAGAGTGCGAGAAGAGTATGCTAAGGTGAACGCAATACGTCTGCGACTTGGGTGCTCAATGAAACTGCAAAACAATTCTGTAGGCTTAAAAGTGGTATTAAACAGCGGGTTTCGATTTCGAGCGATTGACTGGAAGGGTGTAATGTTTGCGTTAATTATGAGAGAAAGTATGCGGAGGCTGTGATTGATATATAATAGTATCGGGCGGGCTTCGGAATCCTATGAAGATAAGATGTGGTTGTTAATCGTGCATGCTATCCAACAAGCCAGAACTAAGAATCGGCTAGAGAGTACATGGCAGACGGTGTACGATCTTAGCCAACACTGTCACTGAAGTGATAGCAATGAGCTAGGAAAGTGAAGAATAGTATAGGTGCATTGGTGTGTGGTAATATATCATAAACGGCCACTTTAGGAGAGCAATACATTAAAAAAGACTGTCATAAATCGCAAAAACCCGTTATAAATTTTTTTTTTTTTTTTTTTTTTTTCTCTTTTCACAAAAACAGAACACGTATATAAAATATGTCTTCCATCGAAACTACCATACTTATTTTATCCAAGCACGTTAACTTATACATTTTAAATCAATGCATATTCTCCTATGATTGATGTAGAATCTTGAAAGACAAACTATAAATGAACGAAATTACTCGATGCTCAACTCAAAAGCAATTCATTCAATAAGCTTAATAGGTTAAACACGGGTTCGATTCGAGCATATGAAGGGTGTAATTTTCTTAATTATAAATTATTTGATTGATATAATTTCCGCCTCGAATCATAAAAATGGGTTATGATTTATGACCAAAACACAACCTAATTATCTCCAACATCAATCAGACGGTGTAGATCTACCCAGCACTGTCAATGAATGATCAAAGCTAGGAAAGTGAAATAGTATACATTGTGTTGTGTATATATCATAACGGCCACTTAGGAGAGACACCATTAAACAAAATCATAATCCAAAAACCCTTTATAAAGCACCTCATGCCCAATACCATCATATCTTTGGGACCCACAATACTCCACACTTGGCATTAACTGTTTTGGTCCTCATTGGTTGCCACGTGGCAACCTTTTCAAGTCAAAAAAAGACCCGCTTATACCATACCATTCTATGTTATTTGTTACTTCGTATCCCTCTATTTACATACCCCTCGTTATACCCTTTAAATTAAATAAGAAAAATAAAATGATTTTTAATTTTTTTTATTTATAATAATAATTTTTTTAACCATTTTATATTTCTATTTGTAGTAATTATTGCTATTTATTTCGTTTAGTGAGTAGTAATGAAAGGTAACATAATTAACTGCATTTTAATATTAACATTATAGTAAAAATATACTTAATTGTATTACATTATATTTCCATTCAATAAATAAATTTGATGGGTCGCAAGTAAAATTTTCCTTTTTCATATTTATAGATAATACATTTACTTAGAAAAAATTTTTTGTTATTCATTAGGAGATCTAATGGGCTGGGCACACCGATATAATAGAGTATTACTCCTTATGACTCACCAAATTAGTAAAATTTTTTTTGGTCGAGAGAATTTGAATTCGAGATTCATACTTTTTACACTAATGAGAAGATTAATTAGACCGCAACAGAAAAATAAAATTTTTATTTGGGCAGATAAACTAATAATTAACTACATAATGTATCAAAATAAATTAAATAAAAATTTCTTACACAAACGGTGCTGACATATATTATTTTGTTTGATCTGTAAATAATTTTTGGGTCCAACGCCAAGTAAGCCAGAAGGCATACAAAGGCAATAGCGTTTCAAAATTTGAAGTGTCTTTTCTTCTCTCTCTCTCTCTTTCTGTACGTAGTGATTAGTAAGGCATTTAATAAGGCATAGGGTCTTGTTTATTTTCTTTGATGCTCAGCTCATTCACTGCACACGAGAAGCTTGTTTCCTTCAGCTCTGCCATTTCTGGGTTAGATTTGGATCTGCTCTTTCTTCATTACCATACTATATATTCTCTCTTTATAACCTTCCATTTCTTGCCTCTTTTTGCCTCAAGATTATTTTTGCTTTTTTTCTATTTTCTAAATTTTCTCCTCTCTGCAAGCTTCTTGTCTGTAGAAACATATTTCAATCTTCCTTCTTTCTTTCTTCTTTTTTTTCTTAAGTTTATGTATTATCAGACAGAAACAGGAACCATTACTCTTTTTATGTATTATTAATTTTTGTTTTTGCAGGGTAATTAAGAAATGCCACAAGAAACCAACAACAGTTCATTTTTTACCTCTCCTTGCAAGAACTTGAGAGGACTAAAGTCATTAATTTCTCATAATGAGGCTTCTTCATATAATGAGGAGATCATCAATGACCATGAATTAGCTCAACGAAAAGCTGAAGAAGCAGGTACATACATACCTATGTAGTTAGTATTATTAACTACCTCCTTCTTTAAATCCAATTTCTACTGAACAACATGGGTATAAAATGTAAAAAATTGTATTTAAATTGCATAAGAGGTAAGTTTATAGATTCCATCTTATTCCTACCTTCAATGAATTCAGTGTCCGAAACATCCAAATATGAAATATTTGTAAATCCCACTTTATTCTTATCTTCAATTAATTAATTTAATTTTATTAAAGATAATATTATTGTAGTAGTAATTTTTATTATAAAAGCTCTTCCTCCCATGTCTCTTGGTTTTTACAGGGGTTTATAGGATCTAATGACATTTATTTTTATAAAAAAGCTTTAATGTTTGAACGGTATTTTAATTATTTTTACTTTAAAAAGAAGCGTTGATTTATTAAAGATTGTGCAGTCCATTATGCTGCGCAGACTGCGGGTGAAGGTGAAAAATAACATATTTTGGTGTGGGCTCTCTTTAGAGACGTGGGCCCAATCTAACTAACCCTATTTTACTTTTTTCTTTTAATTTGTTCTAGGGTCTAGCCCAATTGAGGTCCAGATAATCTTTGATTAATATATATATTTTTTAATTTGACTATAATAGGTTTTGGAGTCTGTTATATATGTTTTTGGGAGAAAAAAAAATTCAAATATAGAAATTGAGTGAAATTTTTTTTAAGGAATTGATCATAATCAAATTAATTAAAATAAAGAAATTATGCAGAATTTTATTATATTTTATGTTAGAAATAGATAAAATATTCAAATTGGGAATTTGTAGCCTTATTTAGTAACTTAATTTAATTCATAAAATTTTTATATTCAATCCTTTACATCATATTTGCTTTTAATGATTTTTAATTATTCAAAATATTATTCTATAAAATTAATCTTTCTCTCATTTATATAATTATTAATTGTTCCAAATTTTGATTTTCATTCGAAAGGTCAAACAGTATATATAAAGCTGACTTTCTCTCATTTAATATAATTATGTAATTGTTCCAAATTTTGATTTTCATTCGAAGGTCAAAACAGTATAGTATAAAGCTGAAATAACAATGTATATATTACTATATTAGTATATATATATATATGATATAAATTGATATATATATATAGTAATTTTTTTCCCTTTTTCTTCAATTTTTAATCAATTTATATAATTTTTTTCCCTTTTTCTTCAATTTTAATCAATTTTTTTAATTTTTCTTCTATTTTTTAATCAATTCTTTGAAATTGTAATGATATGAGTTATACAGTAGCATTGTTTCTTTTTGTGATTAAAAAAAAATTTGCATTATTATTATTATTATTAAAGGTTAAGAAAACTGAAAACCCTCTCCAATGCCCACATAGAGCGATTGAATTGGTATTTTTCACCAAGAACAGCGCACTTTAGCACCATAGCATTGGTTTCTGAAATGAGTACAATAAATGCGGTGCCTCTTTTTTGATAACCAGTAGGGTCGTTGCCATCATTAATGATTATTATTTTTGGCCTTTTACTTTCAATTTTAATTTTTCATTTACTTCCCTAGACTCTCTATCATAATTGAAATTTGCGTTTCTTTAGGAAAATTATTATATAAATATTTTTTAAATTTACCTATTTATGGTTTTGATTTCGATTTTGGTTCTTATAATTGGGAATATTTAATTCTACTTGCTCTAAATATATTTATCTTCAATACATTATAAATGAATATGTAATTTTTTTAAATAAAATATTCAGAGTTTGGGATTAAAATATACTTATTAGTTAAAATTTTTAAATTTCTTTAAATTACTGGTGAAATGTGTATAAAATTAAGTTCAAAGTTTAAAAATTCCTGTAGTTGGTTGGAATATGGGATTGAAAAAATATATATAATTAAAATCCTTTATGTATTTTAGCATCAAGGAGGTACCAAGCAGCAGAATGGCTAAGGCAGATGGACAAAGGTGCATCAGCTACTTTACCTAAAGAACCATCTGAAGAGGAATTTTGCCTTGCTCTAAGAAATGGTCTTATTCTCTGCAATGTCCTCAATAAAGTCAATCCTGGTGCCGTCCTCAAGGTGCTAAATTGCTTAATTTTAAGGAAAAATCAAATAATCAAATGGAAAAAATTGAAAGAAAGAAGACATTGTTGTCTGATTTTTGGAATTAAAATTGAATAGGTGGTAGAAAATCCAATAATTGCAGTGCAGTCAACAGAAGCAGCAGCACAGTCTGCAATTCAGTATTTTGAAAACATGAGAAACTTTTTGGTGGCTGTTAAAGACATGAAGCTCTTAACCTTTGAAGCATCTGACTTAGAGAAGGTTTCCACCTTTTCTTTTTTTTTTTTTTTTTTTTTTAGAGAAGGTTTCACCTTTTCTTTTTTTTTTTTTTTTTTTGCATTTTGCCAATTATGCAATTGTTATTTGATTTCAACATGTTGGATACACAGGGAGGCTCATCAAGTAAGGTTGTTGGATTGCTTTTTTTTTTTTTTTTTTTTTTTGCATTTGCAATTATCAATTGTTATTTGATTTCAACATGTTGGATACACAGGGAGGCTCATCAAGTAAGGTTGTGGATTGCATTCTTTGTCTGAAAGGGTATTATGAGTGGAAGGAAGCTGGAGGAATTGGGGTATGGAGATATGGAGGCCTTGTGAAGATTGTTTCTTTTCCAAAGGAGTCTCCATCTTCCATAGTTGGTAGTGAAAGTGCTGATGAATCCTTCGATGAATCCGAATCATCACAATATGAGCAACTGCTAGACTTTCTTCATCTTTCTAATGAGGTTTCAATTGAAGAATCCAGAACTGCTAATGCTTTGGCATTTCTTTTTGATCACTTTGGACTTGGACTCCTACAAGCTTACCTTAAAGAGAGTAATGGGATTGAAGAACTGCCTTTGAATGCAATGGTAGGTAAGATCTATCTGTAGATTTGAATGTGTTATATGTATGTTAATTTCCCATTTTCCAATGTAGGGTAAGTTAAATATTTAAATGTTTTTTCCAAGAACAACTCTTACAGCTAGGGCTGTAAATGAGATAAGCCGCCCGTGAGTTACTTTAGATTCGGCTCAGTGAAAGCTCACTCGAGCTCGTTCGATAAGGTTAGAGCCAAGCTCAAGGTTAGCTTATTAGCTGACGAGAGCCAGTTCTATCGAACCAAGCCGCTAGCTAGCTTTATCGAGCCAAATCTCACGAGCTAGATCAAAAGTCAAATTAAATTAACCCACATTAAAATAACGCCATTTGGTTTGATAGATTTTGAGCTAAGCTCGCTCATTTATGGATATTGAGCCGAGCTAAGCTCGAGCTTGGCTATTTCAAAACGAGCCGAGCTAAGCTCGAGCTTAGATTTTTAGGCTCAAATTAAGTATATCCTTATGGAGCCAAGCTCGAGCTCATCAAAGCTCAGCTAACCCTATTCACAACAATACCAAATCGAATTTTACCAACTTCCTTTGGTAATTGCTTACAAAGGGATAATAAAAGAGCTCAGGAAAGTAGAAACAAATCTTGCCAATAAAATTCTTTTTGTTTTACAGAATCTTATATGATTATGTGGGTGAAATTTCAGGTGATAGATGCTTTACTCAGTAAAGTAGTTAAAGATTTCTCTGCACTACTTGTTTCTCAAGGCACACAGGTAGTATTTTAGAGTGCACATTTGTTTTGCAAGATCAATTTCCCAAAAATTCCAAATTCTTTCACTTTGATTAATGCCTTAATTAAAAAGCAATTTTGGTGTCTTTTTTAACCCTAAATGCAGGTTGGACAGATTTTGAAGAAAATGCTGAAGGGTGATATGGGGTTTCTATCAAAGTCTGAACTTATAGAGGCAATTTCAGAGTATCTTAGGCAAAGATCAAAAATGGTATCAAGTGATTTCTCCAAGTTTTGTGTGTGTGGAGGGAAACAAGAACCTGTTCAGCCTTCTGTTAGTCACTCTTCTGCTCATATAGAAGTAATTGATATTCATCAGAGAGAAGTTGAGGTTTGAATTAAGCTCATTGGAACTTTTCTCTCTTGTTTTATCTTAGTAGATGCAAATCATTTAGTCTATATCTGTTGTTGAATGCATTTCTAATTTCATTGTTCATTGAAAATTGGGTAGAATTGCAAAGTTTGAAAATTGTTGGTGATTAGGCCATTTAGCTAAGAGAATAACTAGTTTGATTATGAAATTATTGTTTTTAGGAGCTAAGAATGTGTTATAAATTGACAAAAAGAGAAGTGAAACAAATGCAAGCAAAGTGGGGAGAAGAACTCAATAGAATTGGTAAGAATATCATATATTGTATTCTAAACTTATTTGTTTTTTTTTTTTTTCCTTAAAGAAAAATAATTACAATTAAATTTTATTGCCTTAGAGCACCACATCAAGGGCCTTGAAGTTGCAAACACTTGTTATCACAAAGTTTTAGAGGAAAATAGGCTACTTTACAATCAAGTCCAAGACCTAAAAGGTAAAATTATTATTATTATGTTTTTTTTTTTTTTTAATTTCATATTTAATTTAACTAGTTCTCTTTCTTTCTTTTTGGTAAGTTAATCACATTTTTATTAATTTGCCACTAGGAACAATTAGGGTTTATTGTAGAGTGAGACCTTTTCTACCGGGGCAATCAAATGGACAGTCCACTGTGGATTACATTGGAGAGAATGGAAATATCATGATTGTCAATCCTCTTAAGCATGGAAAAGATGCAAGAAGAATATTTTCTTTCAACAAAGTGTTTGGAAATTATTATTATTATGTTTTTTTTTTTTTTTAATTTCATATTTAATTTAACTAGTTCTCTTTCTTTCTTTTTGGTAAGTTAATCACATTTTTATTAATTTGCCACTAGGAACAATTAGGGTTTATTGTAGAGTGAGACCTTTTCTACCGGGGCAATCAAATGGACAGTCCACTGTGGATTACATTGGAGAGAATGGAAATATCATGATTGTCAATCCTCTTAAGCATGGAAAAGATGCAAGAAGAATATTTTCTTTCAACAAAGTGTTTGGAACAACTGTTACTCAAGGTTTCATCTCTTTTAGTAAATGAAAATTCCATTTCAACTATAAAAAGAAAAAAAAATTAACTATTCTTTTAAAATTAATTTGACAATTTCTAAAGAATGATGGCTTTCGTATTTATTTGCAGAGCAAATATATGGTGATACACAGCCATTGATAAGATCTGTTCTTGATGGTTTTAATGTTTGTATCTTTGCATATGGACAAACTGGATCAGGCAAGACATATACAATGGTACACCCTATTTGACTTCTTAACAAGTAATAGTAGTTACTGACATCAATCTAAGAAAAGTAAAATCATATGTTTAAAACATATGATGATTGCCTTGGCAACTTTTGTTGTAAAAATTAGGCATTGAATTGATGGTTCTGGTTCAGTGAACTAGTGTTTCAGGGCCTTCTGAACTTTGAATTGGGATCAAAATCGATCCTTAAGGATTCGATTCTAGTCCTGGTTCAGCTGGTTCAAGGCCGGTTTCAGTCTTAAGTTTTATCAGGCCAATTCTAGTTTGGTTTTAGGTTGTGTTCGGCAACAGCTTTTTAAATAACTTTTAGCTTTTTGATAGCGCTAGCTTTTATAGTGTTTTATTCAGTAACATAGCGTCTGAACTAATTTTTAGGGATTAAAGTAGCGTCTATAAAAGGTTAAGATAGTTTTATAAAAAACTACTAGCTACTCTAAAAACAAAACGCTACTAAAACAATTAATATTTAATAAAACAATTAAATTGCGGAACAAGCACTTAGTCCAAACTTGTTACATAGGATAACAACTAATTCATTATTGAATCTTTGCCAGAGTGGTCCTGATTTGACCACAGAGAATACCTGGGGTGTGAACTACAGAGCGCTTAAGGACTTGTTTCAAATTTCAAAGACAAGGTCAAATGTCATAAAATATGAAGTTGGAGTTCAAATGATTGAAATCTACAATGAACAAGTCAGAGACTTACTAGTCAGTGATGGATCAAACAGAAGATATCCTTTCAGACATTAACATCTTATCTACTTATATAAAAAATTTTAGCTTAATTTCTTTCTTTCTTGACCTTAACAAAATGTATTTACGTTAGATGTTCGCAATAATTCTCAATTGAATGGACTAAATGTGCCTGATGCAAGTTGGGTTCCAGTTTCAAGTACTCAGGATGTTCTTGATCTAATGAGGATTGGCCAAAGAAATCGCGCTGTTGGTGCAACTGCTCTAAATGAACGAAGCAGCCGGTCACATAGGTAAAAGCTTTTCTTTTCGGAAAAACAATTTCAACCTCAATGCCAAACAAACTCAGAAGTTGTTCATTATAGTCATATATTTTGTCGAGTTATATGGTCAGTAAGTGTTCTAGGGTGAATTGCAGTGTTTTGACAGTTCATGTCCATGGAAAAGAGTTAGTCTCTGGATCCATACTTAGAGGTTGCTTGCATTTAGTGGATTTGGCTGGAAGTGAAAGAGTAGATAAATCTGAAGCAGTAGGTGAAAGATTAAGAGAAGCTCAACATATTAACCGGTCTCTCTCAGCACTTGGAGATGTTATTTCTGCTCTTGCACAGAAGAGCGCTCATGTTCCATATCGAAATAGCAAGCTTACACAAGTCCTACAAGATTCTTTAGGTACATATTCGTATACTGAAATTTTCTTTTTCTGTTTTTACTGGCATTTGGTCTGGTCAAAAGGTAAATCATTTCATAAAATGTGGAAAGCAAGACCTTTTACAAACTGGCCTAGTTATTTGGACTGCAAATTCTTGAACTTTTCTCATTTTTTTGGGCATTTAGGTGGACAAGCTAAAACATTGATGTTTGTGCACATAAACCCTGAAGTTAATGCTGTTGGGGAGACTATTAGTACACTCAAATTTGCAGAGAGAGTTGCTTCAATAGAACTTGGAGCAGCTCGATCGAACAAAGAGACTGGCGAAATTCGAGAACTTAAAGAAGAGGTTCATTTTCTTGGCTTTGTATCTACAATTTTTCTTGTTGTTAACTTAATTGCAATCAAAACTCAAAATTCTGACAACTTTTTCACAGATATCAAATCTTAAAGAAATGTTAGAGAAAAAGGAAGCTGAGCTAGAGCAAATAAAAGCAGGAAATTCTAAAACCACAGCAGAATCTCAAAGACCAAGAGCTGTTTCTCCATTTTACATGCCAAGATATGGTACAAGTGCAAATATAAAAACTGAAACATGTCAACGACCAAATGATGAGGTTAAAAACTCCGAGGTAAAAGAAACATGTCTGATGCAAAACTTCATTTTGTTATAATCTTAAATCTTGTTTGGTAGACATGAATTTGAAATATAGAATTTGGCAATAACCTGGTGTTTGCTTTTATTTCCAGCCTAGAAGCTGTTCTTCAGGTAAGCAAAGAAGGTCAAGATTTCCTTCAGCACTCACAGAGAAAGAAACATTAGCAAGAAATGCTTCTGGAATTGAAGAAAGACCAACAAGTTGTTCAAAGCCACGCTCGCCCTCTCCTCCAGTTAAACGGTCACTCTCCTCGGATAGAGGATCAGTAATTAAGAGCAGAGTCAAGGCTGAGACAATGGAGAGTCATTTAGTTGCAAAAGTACCATTTCCTGCTAGAGTACCTGTCAATAAATCCATTCCTGCAATGCCAATAACTCTATCAACTAATGCTAATACACAAGTACCTTACACCAGTCAACGAGACGCCGTGAAGCAGGAAAACATTTCTGATACATTATTGAACCTTCAAAAGATTAGTTCCAGGAAAGTATATCCTGAAAATGAAGAAGACCAATTTAGGCAAGCTCTTAATGTAAGACAGGGCGGTATCAGAAAAAGTAAAATTGAAACTAAGGTTAAGGCAAAGAATCAATTGCCTGGAAAACTTCAGAAATTTGATGTAGGAATTACAACTCTTTCTGTTTCTGATATTGATGCTGTTGAAAAAATTGAAGAGCCAAGAAAGAGTGACTTTTCAGAAACAGAAAATGACCATTTGCTTTCTGAGTCTCCATTACTAGGTGCTTTGAAGGTAAAGAAGGTTCAAAAAAGCTTTTCAAGGAGCTCTCAGAATGTTGAACCGAGGTATGATTCAAATTTATAAACTTTGCTCTTCAAACCCATTTGCAAAGAAGCTTGGAATTCTAACATATAGGCCAATAATTGCAATAATATGCAGAGGAGCCGTGCAAGCTGTGGAGAAACTTGAAAACAAACTTTCAAATAATGCCATTCGGAATGCGAAGGAAAGCGGCAACACATCTATGCCTGAATTCAGGAGAAGCCGATCCACTCCTCGTGGAAAGTTTTTCATCCTGCCTTGAGAATTCATCAAAGTATATATCTACATCTTTCTATATCAAATAATGCCATTCGGAATGCGAAAGGAAAGGCGCAACACATCTAATGCCTGAATTCGAGAAGCCGATTCCCAACTCCTCAGTTTGGAAAAGTTTTTTCATCGCTGCCTTGAGAATTTCTCAAAGAGTATATAACTCTACATCTTTCTATACTATATATATACTATATAATATATATAGTATATATATTTATAAGCAAAAGATACCCTAATAAGAGCCATTATATATTTATAGCAAAAGATACCCTATAGAGCCATTGATATTATAAAATTTTGTATAGGGAATGTTCTGTTGGTCAAATTCTGATTGCAAACTTCTTTAAGGGGATTTTGATGGTGTTAGTAGCTCTGATTGCCTTTCAATGTTACACTATATGGAAAGTTTTGTGAACTTTGTGTTTAATTTGTCTGTGATTTGCTATAGAGCAAACCAATTATATATAATATACTAACATTTTGCTAATATATTTGACCTGTCGCCTGTGGATGCTCTGATAATTATCCAGGAAGTGTTGCTGATGTATTTATGTTAAATATACTTGAAACACAGATAGATGTAATATATGTTTATAATTTTGACTTCTCAAAGATAGCCCAATTATCGTATCTCCTTTTAACAACACTCTTCAAATTGGTCGAGGAGAGTCAAACTTGAAATCTCCTATTTCCTATATCTTAAAGATTTAGTAAGAAGAGTATTAACCAGACTATACCTATTGATGTCAATGTTTGATGACCAATCATCCTATAAACATTTAAATGCAAGGATTTTTTTTTTTTACTGCTATAAATCTGAATTTCAGGATCTCTAGTGTATAAACATGACATTGAATTTTCTCTGCCACCTCAAAGTACTAGCTTGCCTGCATGGTTTATATATTGACTATAGAAACATGACATTGACTGTGTGTGTGTATATATATATATATACATATATATATGAAATTCTTGTTAAAACAACAAGAGAAATGGATTTATTCAACATTAATATCTGTCCAAATAGTTAGCCTAAAAATCAATTTATCAATGGCATGGATAATATGAAATAAAAAAAAAGTAACTAATAAAATAAATAGTGAAATTATTATACATAAAAAGGTATGACTAAAAGCAAAATATTACCTCAACTAGTTAGTTAGGCTTAGCTAATTAGTTGTTACATAAGACCAATTCAAAGGAGAATTTACCAAAGTCTTGTACTGATTGAAGATGCTCTCAAAGACAAATCAAAGGGTAGTTCCATGACCGTCAAATTTAGCCATCTAACCAGCCTGGTTCTAACTTAATAGCAACTACATGTAGTTAAATTAATTATTTAATTAACAAGTACAAGTAAAATTTCTGTTTCAAACGCCTTTCTGACAGACTTAGTCAGTGCATTTCATGTCAATTTCTCAAAACATCCATTTCTTGGTATTGGATTTTATTTATATGAGTCTCAAATTGACTTGTTTCTCAAAAACCATCTAATTTCCCTTTTCTTTTTCTCTTTTAGTGTATACATTGTCAAGAAATTAATGAGCTTCATTCAGCTTGTGGCATTTTTCAAGAAACATTTGAAGGAGAACTCAGGAGACAGGAGACAGAAACCTTTCCTCTTCATATCCTGCCCTTAAACCCTGATCAATAATTTGAGAGTGCGAACCAGCACCCACTTAACAAGAAGCTTTCTGAACTTGAAAATGCCTAATCACATTCTTGGACTCGACACATTTCACATTCCAAGATTTTCACAATCTGGAGAGAAAGAAAGTGAAGATAATTCAACAAATAGAGCTCCTCATATCTCTGTCACCCATGTCTACGAAGCCATTGTCGCTGGTTTCTCTCGCCATGTAACGGTAACATGGAACAAAACCCTAATGAACTATTCGCTTACAATAAGTGTGGAAAATCTTTCCAATGAAAATCATTATATTTGCAAGATTGATTTAAAGGGTTGGCAATTTTGGGGTAAAAAGGGTTTAAAATCCCTCCTTGTAGATGGAAAAAGAGTAGAAATTTATTGGGATTTCCGGCAAGTTAAATTTTCGAGGAATCCCGAACCTGTCTCAGATTATTATGTGGCATTGGTGTATGGAGAAGAAGTGGTTTTAACATTAGGAGATTTAAAGAAAGATGCCTACAAAAGAACTAAGAGAAAACCATCTTTAGAGGAACCTATCTTGTTATGCAAGAAAGAAAATGTTTATGGCAAGAGAATATTTTGCACCAAAGCAAAGCTAGAAGATGACAAGATAGAACATGATATTGTGATTGAAATGTCATATGGGTTAGATGAACCTGAGCTTTGGATTAGCATTGACAGCTTTGAGGTAATTCGTATTATGAACTTACATTGGAAATTTAGAGGGAATGAGAAAGTGACAATGAGGAATAATTTTGAGGTAGAAATTTTCTGGGATGTGCATGATTGGTTGTATAGTAGCTCTCTATCTACAAGCAGCAACCATGGATTATTCATTTTCAAGCCAATAAATGATAGTATAGACAGAGATGATACCTTCCATGACAAAAATAATGGTCTGAGATATTATGACTCGCCACGGGAGATTTTACCTACTTCAGATTATTTTCATGTTGTTTATGCTTGGAAATTTGAGTAAGGCAAGGTTGGAAAAAATTAGGTTTTATTTTTACCGTCTTATTCTACATTTATCATGTTTGAAATCGACAAGATACACACAGGGAAAATTTTGAACTTCAGGACTCTGTGATTGAGCTAGTTGTACTCTTTTATCCTTTATTATTCAAATTAAAGGCTCTTTCTTCTCATTTCTTTTTCCGTAATTAATGCTTCTGAAACCCTTTTTTTTTTTTTTTTTCTTCTTCATTCTTTCCGTAATTAATGCTCTGAAACCCTTTTTTTTTTTTTATTTACTTTCCATTTCTTTTCTATAAATTAAAGTTTTAGTTTTCTATAATTTCAGCAGATATTGAATCACTCAAACTGGGGAGAGCTTGTAAGATAATTGTTTTTTTTTAATAAAAAAATAATAAACCAAATTAAAATAGTACTCCATCATCGTTTTGACAAGGCACGCAAGTATATTAATAAAATATTTTCATTGATAAAACAATTATAAAGGGATTTATTATTGAAAAAAATAATTATTTAAATATATAAATTTAAACCTTAAAAAACATTTAAAATATCTCAAAAAAAAAATAAACAAGCAAAACAAAAAAAAAAAAAAAAAAAAGGAGAATACATCTTATTATAAAGTGTCAATGCTTCATAGGCCTTAAGTACAATAAATTATATCCTTAAATTGTTACGTGTCACGACCCATCAGACCGGGACCGGCCTTAGACCTGGGTGGGCTTAAGGCCCCCCGAGCCCGTGAGTAAGCTAACTTATTTAAAATCTCACCTTTATTCGATAATTATTAGATTCAGGCCCAAATGCAGTTCAGTATTATTTAATATGGACTTTTACTATTTATTTTAACAACCCAACTGGAATACAATTGCGAACTCTACTTTATATTTACATCGTTATTTCTTATCATTTTAAAAGTCTTCCTACAATAAGTGTCTCAAAATTCCACAAGGCTTTTTATTTCTTTCTATTACCTTAAAAAAAAAATAGTAGGCAGGAGTGAGCGCCAAAACTCAAATGAGTAGGGTCTAGATAACCCTCTCACCCCCACACCAATCACAACAGGAAGCTAATATATTTTTTTATCTTAGTTACCGTCTTTACATTATAATGATTCATGCAGTTTTACACTAAATGGCAATACAGCAGCAATCACAAGTATCATCACCTTCATATAATCACATCGTCATGGGAAATTAGTCAGTGCACCACCTGAAAAACTCCCACGAGCGTTCCTTCACACATTTGCTCGGCCCTTCTCATACACTGCACCAGTGGAGCCGATCCCCCTATACGGCCTAACTGGTCTAATCCTTCAAACTGACCAGTCCCTCTCATTGTTTTTCTTATTCTCTCTTTTTTTTTTTTTCCATACCCACAGGGATGGCAACCCGGTGGTCTCCAATCCAATCTAGATCATCAAGTGCTCACAACAGGGACGGCCACCTTGCGGGCTACAATCAAATCTAGATGTATCAGTGTGCGCCAACACAATGAAGGCCATCTGTGGTTTTTCCATTACAAATCACAATATCATCAGTGTGCACACGGGGGCGCCGATCTCCCATTTATTCCGGCCGACGGGTCAATATAATATCATATTCAGGATCCATATCACAGACCGGTTCCTTCACAACCCATGGTGGTCCACTTCATCCCAATTCCACACAAAACAAGGCACCAGTATATTTCATAGCACAAGTAGCACAAGTAATCAAACAATTTTTACTATCAACAAATAGTGCATCATAATATGGCAATTCAATAAAATAATGCATGATAACATTTAGCTGAGAATGCATGAATGCAGGCGGATGAGGCGAATTATCTAACACTACTCACAGTTCTTTATTGCCCTCTAAAGGACTATCTCTAGTACTGCATCCTTCTAGCTTTTGTCTCACCATCCCAGAGCTCATACACATCTAGAAAGAAAATCCTGTATAAAAATCCTAACCTCATAAATATACTTTGCATTCGTTACCACTTTTTGAGGCTCTATAGCTATTTATCTTGCTGGTCGGTTTGGTCGGAGGCACGCTGGTGAGGCGGCGGCAGAGGCGCAATCGGTGGTCGGAGGCTTGCTGATGCTGCTGCAGGTCGCTGGCAGTGACGCAGACCCAGTTGCAGGAAGAAGAAAAGGAAAGAAATGAAAGGAAAAGGGGATAGAAAGAAGAGAAGAAAAAAGAAGAAGAAAAGAAAGAAGAGAGGGAGGTGTGGTTGGTTGCGGTGGTGGGCTTGGAGGTTGGCATAGAAATGTGAGAGATGAAGGGGAGATAGGCGATTGAAGATAAAGGGGAAAAAGGATGTATGTTTCTAGATGGTTTGGGTTCGAACCGGTTCGATTCGGGTTCGATTCGGCCCAAATCTTCGATTTTCAACCGGTTTCGGCTTTTTCAATCGGGTTTTTCGATTCGATTTCTAAAGTTACTTCGCACTAAAATATTAATAGCAATTTCAGGCTGTCGGTTCGTTAAATTAAATTGGAAAATGTTTTGTATTCGCACTAAAATATTAATAGCAATTTCCAGGCTGTCGGTTCGTTAAATTAAATTGGAAAATGTTTTGAAAATAAAAATTCGGGGTATTTCAGTACGTTTATAGAGAAAAAATGCACTTGTCATCCCACTTACAAAAACTTGGGTTCTTTTTTGTTTTCATAAATTTCATTTTAAGAATTAATTTTAAAGATAAATTCTATTTTGTTCTTTCCATACAAGCTTCAATAACTCAATCATTATTCATTCAATATACACATAAAGTGGGACCAAAATATATATAAAAGAAAAATGAAAATAAACAAGATTTAGTGAATTTATTAAAACTAATAAAAATCATGAATATATATTAATACACTAATGATGTTCATTACAAAGGAATATAAGATTGGAAATACATATTGGCACAGGATAATTTTATCATCAAATAAACAAAACTATTTTTACCAAAAAAATTTTACTACCTATATTTTTACCGAAGTAATCAACTGCCTAGAAAATATCACAAGTGATTGGTGGGTAAATTAGCAAGAACTAGTTAGAAACTCTAGTCAGGATCATTCTCTTAAATGACTAGGAGCCAAGGTAGAATTCCAACTTCCCATTTAGAACATTCGAATCATTTTTCTGATATACTCACAAGGCTGAAAACTCAACTTCTTGAGTGCAAGGACGATATGCTACAAAAGTGTTGTCATTTGAGAAGGATCCAGGGTTGAAGCAAGTAATTCCTGTGTATTTGAATGCTTTCTGCTCACTTTTGTCCCCTAAAACAATCTGCAAAAGGTGCATGAAAATATGAAATTGGCCTCTAGTCCACTATATTTACATGGATTATTGTCAGTTTTTAAAAGGACGAGAAATTTTCTGGCTTCTTAGCAAACTATGGTTTGGGAAAAACCGGATTTTTTATTGCTTTTCCCAAACCATGGTTTGCCAAAAGAAGTCAATATGTAAAAGAAAAGGTCAAAAGTGCTGTTTTGAGAAGCAACTGAAAGCTCATGCCAACAGTGCCTAACTATTAGCAATGTTCAATCAAATGGAGCGTTCAAAATATTCAGTTCCTTTAGACATATATTAAAGTATGTATTATCCCATAGTTTCACAGTTGATCTTAGTAGAAATATAAATTTTCCAAGCAAAACATGATTTGAGAAAGAAAAGAGGACCAAAGAGAGATATCAGCAATACCGTGTGAGGAGATGGATAAAGATGGAGACTGTGATCATAATTCCAGATAATTGGTTGAACGACAAGAGGCAGTGGGCAGAGATGACTTTGATGGGTTATGGTAGCTACCAGCTGTAAAATAAGTAAGAAGGAATTAATTTCATTAACCAATAGACTGAAGTAATGAATTCATTTGAAAAAGAGAAGGATGAGAGAAGAGAAAGAAGAAAACATGTTCAAAGGGATCAGCAGTTTCTTCTGTAGAAGGAGGCATCAAGCATGACCGACGCATCCTATACAGCAGATCATAGCGAAAAAATACGATTTCTTGAGTATAGAACTTGACCCTGCATTGAAATGAGAAGCATTTGCAATATAAAGAGAGTTAAGCACATATCAAAAGCTATTTCCAAAAAAAATTGAAAAAACGCATCAAAAGCCATGCTAGTGCACATAACATCTCTTCATTTTTCATACGAATTGCATGTTATAAGCCCTTTGTTCTTAAAATTATCCTCAGAATTCAAAGTAAGATATTCTAAAAGCCAAGAAAAGAATGTCTATCAGAGGATGTCATAGGAGGATAAAAAGTTGACTGTTGTCATAATAATTTAGTGATTAGACAAATTAACCTGCAAGGATTACTTGAAAATATGGCGTTTGGAATATGCTTCTGAAGCCCTTCAGTTAGATACTTCGGTAAAGAGCAGCGGGGTAGAACTGTTGATGGACCTGAAGTAATCAAAGACTCAAGATGTTGATCATTCTCATGTAATATAAAACTACTTCTGAAAAGCCGGACAAAATTGTGATAATCTACCTGCATCATCAGGACCTGGAATAAAGAGAAACCGACTATGCTCTTTTAGCCTTGGATGTGCTGCAATCAATTTCCCTAGGTTTTCGAACTGTAACCTAACATGTTTAAGTTGTGCAATTGTGTTTTAGCAAGTCTGCTTATGCTATAATATTTTGTTAAAAACAATGCAAGTAAGATTCCAAAGATCTCTCACCTGAGACTTGAAAATGAATGAAAGGAAAGATTGCATGGATGAGAACAAAAATTTCCCATGAAAACAAATAAGGAAGGAACTACTTCTTGAACCTCAAAGCCATCAAGTACTGTCTCCAGCTTTCCCATAGCCTTCTCTTAAGAAAAGACAATATTATGATTAGGAGGAACTATTCATCAACCATTACCCCTCCCAAAACCCAGCTGTATATATATACCGAGGCTATTAAATCACCTCTTCATTGTCTAGCCAAATGTCTGAGAGTATGACAAACATGTCATTAACAGCTCCTTTTTCCAGCTCTGCAAGTCTTAGCTATTAGAGTTTAAGTAGGAAGATCACTATCAATTGTCATATTCTAAAGCTACTCCAGGAAATTTTCAACAATAGTTACATTTATTTCCTCCTCTGAAATCTGAATGACTGAAGACAAATAAGGATACAGTCTCCTCTTTTGTTAAACTACCGCCACCAAAGAAATCATGTTGCTCAAGTAATTTCATTGACTTATCTCTTTCCTCTAATGGAGGAAAGCCACACGTATATACCTACACAAGAAAGCAAATACTAATTGCCAGAAAAACATTTAGTAAATTTTCCAGAAACAACAAATGAGTCTCACAACAACATGGAACCTAACAAGTTTAATCAGTGATGAAGTTTGTCTATATTTTCCTTTAACAAGGAATATTTGTAACGTCTAGAAGTATCCATGGGTGGATACCAAGCCTCATAAGGTGACAGAAAAGAAGTACCCTAAATATCAAAACTTAGCAGTTGCATTAGAGGAGAAAGAGGCGCATCAGAGGCTTCTTGGGGACAAGCAACTCATGTCTATTCCCTACGTCTAGCATGAAAAAGTAAAATAAGAGGCTTTAGATTTATTTACCTAAACAGTATGCAGAATCATATGGAAATGCCTTTTAGTAAAAAATATTTATTTACAGTTGTTCAACTTATCTCAGTTTTTTTTGGCATGCAAAGAAAAAAAAAATGCAGTTGAATTAAACAATTAATATTATCCAGAATTCATAATGGAGATGGACATAGCTAGTTGCCAGTTTTTATAGCTTTATTCCAAATTCCACATTATGTCAAAACATGAAACTCATGCCCTTACATGCTTGGCATTAGTGGATAGGGACATAAATTTACATGAATGACTTATGTCATTAGTTATTCCACAATAAAACTTTTGCCTTATTAACAAATTTCAGAAATTCATTATTCCCCCCCTTTCTTTTTCTTTGGTAACTTTGACGGTATTTAAATGTTAGCTTCACTGAGAATTTACAAACACAAGATTTTGTATTTAGAAAGATATAGCACCTCTTTCACATTCAATCCCTCCCTGTCATGAACCTTCTTAGTCAAAACATGACACTTCTGCCCTACATACGTGGCATAAGTACATAAGTCTACACGAATAACTTAAGTCATTAGTTCTTTCACATTTCAAATCCCTCCCTGTTCATGAACCTTCTTAGTTCAAAACATGAACACTTCTGCCCATACTATACGTGGCATAAGTACAGTAAAGTTCTACCACGATAACTTAAGTTTCATTAGTTATTCCACAAATAAGACCTTTGCCTTCGTTGAACAACTTTTAGAAAATTCATTTCACTTCCCCCCTCTCTTTTTCTTTGGTTAAATTATTCCACAAATAAGACCTTTGCCTTGTGAACAACTTTTAGAAATTCATCATTCCCCCCTCTCTTTTTCTTTGGTAAATTGACGGCATTTAAATGTCAGCTTCACTGAGAATTTACAAACACAAGATTTTGTATTTAGAAAGATATATCAACTTTTCACATTCAATTCTTGCCTATGATTAACCTTTTTAGTTCATGTGATTGGATGTGTGGATTAGACAGGAATAAGTTCCATCACATTTCTGGTTCATATGGCATGATGATAATCCACAAAAAAGAAGCCCACACAGAAACACCATCAGGTGGCTCCAAATAGATTGTACTGTGTAGTCATATCCATACCACTTGCCATACCAATCCAGCACCATAAAAAGGAATCAGAATCATCACTATCAAATGTACAAGAACAACGATTGGGAGAACGATCGGGAGGATACTTCTATAATCACTCGTGGATCTTATGTGTCTAACACTTATTTTCTTGCAGAACAGCATCTTCAGTTACATTAGATATGTAAAACTAAGAGAGTTTATTAGTATTTATGTAATTTTCTTAAGATATTTACAACTGTTTTTATGTATATAGTTCATGAAAGCATAGATATCATGTCATGTCTAGATCTTTAGAGGCAGCTGAGTCTATCTGAACCTAATGTGCATGTCAAAACATGAATATGACAATGTCAGTTCGCAAACCATTTATCAAAAATAAAGAACTCAATCAAGGTTGAACATGCTGCATCATAAAAGGAACAAAGGAAGCCAAAACAGATAATGTCATTAAGTTATCAAGAATATTTTACACAGTAACGACATGATAGCCCCATAGCCCCGTCAAGAGATGGATTATAGCAATGCTGAGCATAGGTTTCAGGATATTTGAATCAGGAAGGCAATGGAATGTATAACCGTGCTAGTCACTGACACAGATAATTCAAGTCCAAATATGCCAATCGAGGCTTATAAAATCACTCACTTCAGCATTTTAAAACCAGAGCAGCCAGTTCAATTGATTAAACTGGGAACGATCTCCATGTCTGGAGCAGTTTGCAAAATCCTGTTGACTAAAAATGAAACCACTCAAAACACAAAACCTGGCGAATAGGAAAACCTACAAAGAACCAGGGAACCCAATCTGAATATAACTCTATATTTTAGCCAAAGAATTGAAAGAAAAAAATGACCTCAATCATTTTTTCTCTGCCCTCTCTGTGTTGCCATCTCTCGTTGTCTCACTATTTCCAATGCTAAATTGCGAAGACACTTTGAATCTTAATATATAAAAGTCTTTTTGATCTTAATATATAATGTCACCTAACTAAGGTTCCAATCAATGCTTCACTGGAGATAGCAGCTTATGGCGATTTCCAGATAGAGAATCTCTAAACCACAATTCAATTAAGAGGCTGGGACAATTTGACCATTGTAAGTCTAAGAAAAGAGTGTAAGGATCAAAATTTTGTGGGAAAAGGTTGGATCCAGAGCCCGGTTTTGGGATTACAATAGGAATTATGTAATCTTGGAGTTCCTTATACGTGTTTCATTGGATTGAGAAATTTTTCATTGCATATTATGCAAATCATTGTATTATTTCATTCCAGTTCTAAAAACAATGAATTATTTCAAATTGTTGAACCGCTAAAGAGAGTTGCTCGTATTTTCAAACTATTTAACAAGGACAAAAGGATAAGCCTAGGTTGAACAGAAAGATACTCCACTATAACTTCAAGCTCACAACCATTGAAAAAGTTTCCTTGCCACACAACCAAACCAACATGTCCCCGCCCCCCCAACCCAAAAAAAAAAAAAAATCAAAAAAAAAAAAAAAATCAATAAAAAAAAAAAAAAAATCAATTCTGCAACCTCTTGCTCAGGAATACCCTTTCTGAGAAACATGGCATCAGAAATAATTGATATAAATACCAACAAACAAGTAAAGCTATCATATTTTCTCTGAGACCTTCAAAGGAAAGATATCCAAAAGACGCTTCTTCAAAAGGGCACCAAATGATTATATTCTAATGTCTCAAGAACTGCTAAAACAAAAGCATGGAGAGAGTTTCTAGAGAAAGGAACTAACAACTAGTATAACCAAGTCAATTGAATACATAAAAGGTTTGATACTAACCTGAAAAATGCCATCCAAGAGCATCTCACCTTCTGCAACTACTATTGTATTTTCTGATAAGAACCCTGTAGTTATTTTGTATTTCTTATCAAGGAAACAAATAATTTACAAGTATTTGCATTCTAATAATATTAGACAATTTACAAGGAAAGTAAAAGAACGTGGCTTTGGGGTAATGGTAAAGTCATTCTACATGTGACCTAGAGGTCATGGGTTTGAGCCATAAAAACAGCCATTCTACCAAAAAGTAGGGGGAAGGCTGCTTACATTACCCCCCCCCCCCCCCCCCCCCCCCCCAAAAAAAAGCCCACACATTGTGGGATTGCTTCGTGCACATAGATTTGACCTTTCCCCCCCCCCCCCCCCAAAAAAGCCCACACATGTGGGATGCTTCGTGCACTAGATTGCCTTTTTTTATTAGGAAAAGTAAAACTATAAATGACTTCACAAATTACCACTATCCTTAAGTATCACAAAATCACTTTGGGCCACCAAATTTATTGGATGTCTTATTCCCATCGTTTTGGACATTAGAAACAGCAAATGTAGAATTTGCTTGACATTGTTACTGAAAAAAAAAAAAGTATCATATTGAACACACAGACTTAAGCAATAATAATTTTAACTCTAATGTAGATTTGGGATGTTTTAAACTCCCAAGCTGCTTTTCCAGCAGTTTCAAACATTGTTTTGCAATATCTAAAGGCATGCTTTTTCGAGAAAGCCTCAACCACAATGCCGAAGAGACATCACTTTTTGACAATTTGCGAGTCATTCAGAATAAAGCAAGAAGATATCCAAAGACATACAGAGCAAGATAGTTCACTCTCTGATCTAGAAAGATCTTTTCAAATCAAAATGAAAATAGTCCACACTCAACACTAGTTTGGAAGGGTCATGTCATAATTTCTATACATGCTATTGCACAAATGAATTACACTGCATAAAAAAATAGAACAGTTCTATATATTGATTTCAATTTCACCGTATCTAAGAATTGTTTCTAACATAAAACTAGACCTAGAGAATTATGTTAAATGGTTAGTAAGAGAAGGGAAAAGATTAAAGGTTAAAGTCAGTAAGAAATGTTTAAAAGGATATTGCTTTGGTCAAATTGATTTCTACTGATGCAGTAAGATCCTCCAAGTAGAAATGACCATCCTCCAACTGAGATATCACACCCATGACCCAACGTTTTCCTGTTTGCCCAACCAAAGATTGAATTGGAGCTATCTGCAGAGATATAACACACAAATACATATCATTGTAAAACTAAAAGCAAAAAATTTATACTTGGGAGTTTGTTTTGAAGTGTATAATAGAAAATGCTTGAGGGAGCACCTCACAGCTTCCATACTGTGACATTCCTGTGTCGAATGCAGGCTTGGAAAAATGCTGATCACGAGAAATTCTCTGGAAGAGCAACAGATACCTATCTTTGTAGAGAGCAGCTTTTGCTGAAGATTCACCATGAATAGATAGCCCCCCTGTATGCCTTTGAACATCATAAGAGAGCAAGAAATAAAACAAGAATTAGTCAATGCCCCAACAAAGGAAAAAAGCAATTGCAGTTTCAAGTGAATAGTTGAGAAAAGATCAAACCAAATAGAAATTAAATTAGCCAAAAGCAACTTCAATTCAACTTCCCAATAATTTTATAATGGACAGGTGATTAGCTACTGGACGGCAAATTCAGTAAATTTACAATGGCTAATAATACTGTTTCCTTTTTCATAATTGGGAAACCATACAATGAATCAATTACCCAACTTCTTCTAGAACCTCCATCAAACTTGTTCATAGATACCATAGAATAACATAGAATTACGAACATCATGTTTTGTGTACATGTTTCTATAATAAAAATGAAAAAAAAAAAGATATTTGAGAAGAAAAAAAAGAAATGAAACTGACATACTGATAAAATTGCTTCTTGATGGGATCAAAGTGAAATTTGGGGATTAAGAAGGCATCAATCACACGAATAGCAGAATGAGAAGAAACATTGTCACTTGGGCCTTGCTCAACTGCATCATCAGCTTCCAATAAACCACTTACAAGACGATGTATAGGCTCCTTGTCAATTATGGAAGATTTCACTCCCACTTTCTCTATATCCATTCATACATTTCAACAAAAGTCAGATTCTTGATTGATTTGAATTCTTTAATACAATTCATGAGATAAGAGGAAAAGTAATAAGAGAATGAACTGGATAAAAAATCATAAAAGAAAGGAAGAAAGGAATTCTTTTACGTGATTCATATTGAAGATGGTCCAGGAGGAGATCGATGGCCTCATCTTCAGCTTCTTGGAACCGGCTGACGAAGGACAGTATCTCTTCAAGAGCATCCACTTTTAGTGTATATCCTCTAATCTTGAATTTCTTTTGTATCTTTTTCCTCACCACTGAGGCATTCATTTTCTAGTCGTCAAAAGTGCAGATGCATATTACAGCACAACGGGTACCTGACAGATGTAAAGCCTACATTGAGTATTCACAAGCCCACACTTTGCAAAGAGAAAAAATATTGATAAGGTAAAAGAATTGCCTATATGTGGAAGGAATCTTGATGAAGTAAAATTATTGCACATATATGAAACAAAAATTCTTGCTTACATCTGGACATAAGGAAGAGCCAATCAAAAACTTCTGATACACAAAACAGTGTGTTAAAATTTATTTTTCTTCCTTAATTGCTGGGTGTATACACCTAGGGATAGAAAAAAAGGATTCATCAAAATATATTTTTACATTTTAAAAAATTGTAAACCTTGTTGGATAGGTGCTAATTGAAAATTGATTAATGCCAAAGAACTCAAAAAATAAATGAAATTTGCACTGAAATCTTAAAATGGATAAGGTAAAGAATCGCTTATATTTGTGGAAGAGGAATCATGTAATGCATTGTTGTGTCATTATATATATACTTTTTTTTTCCCTTTCCGTTGAACCTAAGATAAAATCTTAGGTTTCATAACACCACAAAAATTTTCATATAACCAAAACTTAAATTGTATGAGCATATAAACAAATTTCTATGGCTAATATCAAAAGCATCAACTTTTAAGTTATGTACTTTTTTTCCCAACAAAAGGCAACAAATATCACACAAAAATCAGATTCAAGGAAGTAAAAACAAAAGTCTAACTAGCAAACCAAAGCCACATGCCCAAAAATAATTCCAAGTTTCATTAATAAAGGCAATATGCACAAAGATTCTGACTTTATGATTCAAAAAGCAACAATCATATTCAGATTAAGTAGAGTCACAAGTTTATGATTTTAAACCTTTCAATGGAACCAAGGGAAAAAAAAACTCATAGCCACTCCTACAACTCGAACAACTAGAATCAAAACAAGTCCCTTTCCTCATATTATTTACTAGCTCAAACACCATTCGCATATAACATATTTTCTAAATTAAGCAAACTGAATTCTGAGGCATAAAGTTGCAAATCTAATACTCAAAAACCAACAGGCATATATTTTATGTACCGCCACAGGCATTAAGCAAACGAGATTAGAAACATAAAAAATGTCTAAAATTTTCCAGATTCAACAGACCTAAACTTCCACAGACTTGAAATTTCACACTTGCGTATACGATTTTTTAACCATTGAAATTAAAATTAAAATTCTTACTCACCAAAACGGATCTTAGGAGTAGAAGAGCTTTTTCGCTTGCCTTTGTGTTCCTCCTCACCCCAACTTTGCCAGTGTCTCCTATAGTCAAGCGTTTTTGAGTTCCCTCTCTTTTTCTCTCTTCTGCAGAGTTTATTGCAAGCGGGTATATTTTTCTCTTCTTTTTTCCCTTCAGGTACCTAAACTTTATCGATTTTAATAGAGTTACCAAATGAGCCGAGCCAAACTGATCTGAGCTATTGAGCTTGAACTAAAAAATCGGAGTTTTAAACGAGCAGAGCTCAGTTCCATTTCTAACTCTATGACCCTAAACGAAGTTAAAAATTAATTAGAGTTAATTTTTAAAAAAACTGGTATTATATAGTAAAATTATGAAATAAAGTTTGATTTGCACCCTAAATTTTGGAAATAATATGTGATTTGTCCAAAAAATTAATTATTTATGCAATTTAGCCTGTAAACTTACACAAAAAAAATAAAAAAGTCAATTTTAAAAAAAAATAATTTTTAATATTTTAATCTAAAAAAATTATTTAAAAGTTTAAAATTAGGAATAAATAATTATTTAAAAAATATCAATAGTTATAAAAATTATCGTCTTATGTTTGATTTAAATAATTAACAAAAGTATTTAATTTAAAATATAAAATTAGAAAATATTTGATTATATTAAATATTTGGTTTGATAAATATTTATTATTTATTATTTAGTTATTTTCAGTTATATTTGATTTTTATCAAACTGATTTTTTTAGAAAAAAAACGTGACTTTAACTTGCCATTTTGTTAATTATTAAACTTTAATTTTTATTTAGACGAGGGATCACTCAGAAAAAATTGAAAAATATTAATATGATAATAAAAATAAAGCACTAGATTTAAAAATCAAATTTTATTCTAATACACTAATTTGAAATCTATTTATTCATTTATTTAACAAATAATGTCATTTAAGAAGTTTTAAATAAAAATAAATAAAATGTTCACTCTACCATTTTTTATTTTATATTATTTTTTCATTCTCTTTCTTATATTCCTTCTTAATATTTTTTTTAACTATATAATTATTAGTTTCGTGTTAATATTCTATTAACGAATGATAAATTATAATTATATCACGTTTACAAAATTAAATTCAAGATTAAGTAACTATTAATATCTTCTAAAACAAAAAGTAACCACTAATATAATTTATCTGTTAAAATCCTCATTCTTGTATGAAAAAAAATTGCAAAAGGCTAATCTCAATCAAACAATATAAAAGAATTTATGTTTTCAAAATTTACAAATCTCAACAAATTTATATCAAGATTAAGATGCTATATCTTTTTTTTTTTTTTTTGGCTATATTAAAAGATATTTTTATTTTTAAATATTTAACAATAAAAAATAGCAATAAACTTTGAGACGACAACAACTTATTAATCCAATGGAAGTAAATCGCAAATTTTTTTATGTAATTATAATTGAGATTGAAATTACAAACTCAAATGGAAATTATAAGGTGAAATTGAAATTAAAGTTCAAGAGTCAATTTCAATAATGTTGGAATTATGAATTACTATAAACTATAAGAGTAAAATGTAATAATTAAAATCAACATAATTTATTTTTTTTAGATAATTAAGTAACACTTCCAACTTATAACACATATAGATAATTTGATGCTATTTAAGATTTATGTTATCTAATTAACTTTAGTAATTATTTAGTTGATAGTCTAAGTAATTGTAATTAAAATATAAACTACAAGCCAAATCGGTATTATAAGGTGCAATTGGAATTGAAATCCAAACTTCAATTTCAATAATGTTGGAATTGTAAATTCATGGAAATCATAAGAGTAAATTGCAAAAATTAAAATTTATATTTTTTTTTATTAATTGAATAACAACTTCAATCTGTGGTAGATAATTTGATACTATTTGGGGTTTCTTATTCAACTAACTTGTAAAATTACTTTAGTCCATAATTTACATATTAATTAAAATTGAAGATTGAAATATAGGGCACACGTAAATCGAGTTAGATCAGATTTATCGATCTAAAGTACCCAACCGATATATATAGGTCAATAATTTTTTTTAACCGCAATCCCACCTGTAAAAGTTAATATTTTTCTTTTTTCATTGGTATGTGGAAAAAAAATTTTATTTGCTTGATTTCAAAACATAGTTCAATCCGTGCTCACTGTGAATTTGTGATAGTTGCAAATTTAATAAAAGACTTGCAGTTTATGGGATAATATGGTTTAATTGGTTTAACTTCGCTTTTGTACAAATCGTTTTAATGATTTGTGAGAACTAGAGGGATCAAATAGTAATTTACCCAAAATAAATTTACAAAACTTGGAAATTTTTTAGTTTCCACAAGAAGCCTGCCTTGTTAACTAAACAAACCCTAACTGTTCCCGCCATAGACAATGACACTGTAGGAGTCGCTTTCAAATTGTTCCACCACGCTCCTTCACAGACCATCAAGCCACGCGCTGCTCAAACCAAACCGAAAAACAGTTCGAATTAGGGTTTTTAACTATTTGGTTTCTGGAGCTTGTCATTGACCTTGTTAATGGCTATGTTTGCGGGAAATCTGGCATCCAATATTTCTTTTCATATTCAATCTCGCGTCTTCTATATTCCGTGGTTAGATATCTCTCTCTATTTCGCTTCACATTTTCTAAAGCTTCTGTACGTTTGCTGACAAAATGAAGGAAAAGATTCGAAATTCCAAAATTTTAAAGTATTATTTGTGATAAATAAAGCTTGAAATTTGGTTTTTTAATGGACAATATAAAGAGTAGGTAGGACGCTGATTATGTGGAATTTGATATATTTAAGTTCCTAATATATATTCTCGAAAAAAAAAAATCCTAATAGTTAATAGTAAAGATTTTCAGGGTTTAAAGGTTTGATTTTGTTGAAATTTGGGTATTGTTTACTGAAACTTTTGATTATATGAAATTTATGTTATCTGTAGTAATGAAGTTTAAATTTTTAGGGTAAAGAGAAGTCCAGCAATTCTATATTTGAAAAGCAGAGATAATAGTAGCTCTTCACTTCCTATTAGATATGTTCCTAAGCAATCTCCAAAAGTTAATGAACTTGAGAAATCTTTGCCTGTAAAGGGTTATGAAAAAAGTATTAATGGAGTTGGAAGAACCTTTGTTTCTGGTGCGAAGGCTCAAAACAAAAGGCACAAGGAGAGTGTTGTATTTGATGATGCAAAAGAAGGTAACTGTGTCCTTAAGAGAGCTCTTAAAGTACTGAGACGAGTTATATGTTCTACACAAATTTTATTTATCAATTATTGGTTTGGCATGTATAATATGCATTGCATGATATTTTTTTAGGAGTTATAGTAATGATTTAGAAAGTTCATGATAACGAATTCATGAATGGCTTTATGACTATTACACTTGCTGATGAAAACTGAGGAAATGATAAAGGGTTATGTGCACTAATCAATGACCAAGAGTATGTCCTTCAATGAAAAAACTTGTTTATTGTATCTTGTTTGATGTTCTTTAAATAGTGATTCAATCAATTGATTCATAGGACTTTACAGGAATCCTTTTTCTCTCTGTTTTTCTCCTTTCCTTGCACTTATGGATTATTAGGTCTGATATAATTATAGTATTTTGGATGCAAAAGCATGATAAATTTTTAATAGTGTTAATAGTGTTGTTTAAGACAGAAATTGTAGCTAGTGCTAGTCAAAACTGCAGAAATCAGTACTGTGAAAGTTGCAAATGAACTTGTAAAACCATGCGATCTTGTGATATGGTTTTTTCCTAATAATTAAACCATATCTAAACTCAAAGCAACATGGGATATCTAAAATTGCAAGTCAACTCTTCAAGTTTCTTGCTGCAGATTGGAAATTTGTAGGCAGGACTTATATCATCTCATCCTCTTTGATGAGTTAAGAGTGTTTTTCTCAATTATAAATCTCTTTTTGTTTTATCAATATGGATGGCCACCCAAAGAATACCTTTTCTGTACAATAGCTACCCTTTGGCTTAGCCTAGATCATGTGGTTGTATCATTGAGTTGCTTGCAAAATTTGTGTTTCACTCATAACATTATAAGTACCGATGCTTAATGCTAATTGTTGCCATATATTGAAAAAAAAAATTCTATAAAATGCAAAGGAAAAGTTGTCTTATTCAATGGCATAAATGAGTGGTTTGCTGCTTTTTGATGATCCCATTAGGAATTCTTGTTTATGGCTTTCTAAAATTACATATATTCCTTTTGCAAGTTATTTTATAGCATTGTTGCAATTAAATTCTTTAGTTTGATTTTTTATGAATCTTCTAATCTATTTCTGTATGAAGAGATTAATGAATCTTGCACTTGATCCTAGATGAAAAGGTAATTTTTTTGAACATTGATGGTGACTATATGTTATAATATATTTTTGGTTTGCTTCTTTCTATCAAGTATAATTGTTCTTCTTTATGTTAATCAGTCAATAGAATGCTCAAAAAATTACAGTGTTTTCAGGGTTAGAACAGGAATTCAATAATGTGGAGATGATACAAACTGAACTCATGGAAGAACCTAGGGATGAGGAGTCAGGGATTCAAAATTCAAGGGATAGTACTAAAAAGAATGCGCAAGCGGGTAAAACTATGCTAGATGCTGAGAAGATGGCTATTGGATTTCTCGCTAAAAGGTTAGAATATGGTTTTCAATTACTCCATTATTTTAGTTTATTGAATCTTTAATGTAATATTCATCTGACTTGCCAGTATTTTGAGTTTAAAGACAATTATCTTGTTGCTACCATGTGAATGTATGTTGGTGGAATGACTACTCTGGTAATTGCAAGGTTCTACCAACATTAATAAATTGTTTACAATAAATTATATTGTGAAACTTACAATTCTTAGATGGATGTATATCTAAGAGTGAAGCTGTATATATATATATATATATATGAAAAAGGGCTGAATTTGAGACCCAACAAGTCCACTAGAGAATAGAAAGGACTGACTTTTATCAAGAATAGACTATCTTCTTCTTCGCACAAAAGATACCTATTGAAAAGAATAGAATTTTTATTTACACTTGAATATAAAGAAACTAAAACCTAAAATAATAAAATTAAATATACAAGGCAAGTATAATTAATGGAATAATCAACATAAAATACTAAAGCTACCTTGTCATACCCCTGTACTTAAAAAAAAAAAAAAAAAAAAAGTACTTTTAAAGCTACGTTTTGTCATACCCTGTACTTAAAAAAAAAAAAAAAAAAAAAGTTCTCAAGTAACTGTTCATGCGTGGCCAAAGAAAAAGCATTTCAACTATAACACTGCCTGTCAATGTTAAAAAATAGTATTTATAACAGAATAACGCTTTCCTTGACACTCCCCCTCTCCCAAAGACAAAAAATATCATACAAAGAAAAAAGCAAGACAGCAATTATTTACTTAACCAAGCGCAAATAAAATTTCTGTTACCCAGCTCACCAGAAAATTTAAGATCTCGTCACAGTTTATAGAACTTTATGAATTATGGGCTCACTTTCACCCCTCAAACAGTTTGAACTCCAATAACTTCGATTCTATTAATTAATTGTTCTTGCCCCTTCTTTATTAACACACAAATGATTAGGAAATGAATATTCCTTCAATTTTATGCCTCATAATTGTTTTTTGAAAGTTCCAGTCTCGCATAGCTTCTTTATTTCCTTTGGTTTCATTCATTTCAACTACTGTCCCACCAAAATTGTCAGCGTTCCTAACTGTCTTGCAAACTTCTGCCATCCAGTCCTTGAACTCAGCTCGCCTTTGCCAGACTTACCTCGTGCCCCACGTTCGCAGTGTGCCCGAGCTCTTGCCTCACCACCTCCAAATGTCGTTCAGTCTAAAGACTGGACTCCACACGGGCCTGAAATCTACGGCGCGCTCGGCTGCTGTATCACCCTACGCACGCTGGGAGTTGGACTAAAAAAAAAAAAAAAAAAAAAGTTCTCAAGTAACTGTTATGCGTGCCAAAAGAAAAAGCATTTCAACTATAACACTGCCTTCAATGTTTAAAAAAATAGTATTATAACAGAATAACGCTTTTCCTTGACACTCCCCCTCTCCCCCAAGACAAAAATAATAAAAAAAAGAAGACAGCAATTATTTATTAACCAGCGAAATAAATCTGTTACAGCTCACCAGAAATTTAAGATCTGTCAAGTTTATAGAACTTATGAATTATGGGCTCACTTTTGAACTCAATAACTCGATTTATTAATAATTGTTCTTGCCCTCTTTATTAACACACAAATAGTAGAATGAATATTCTTCAATTTTATGCTCAATTGTTTTTGAAAGTTCAGTCTCGATAGCTTTTATTTCCTTTGGTTTCATTATTCAACTACTTCCACAAAATTGTCAGCTTATGTTATTTGCAATTTCTTCAAATTCAACATTTTGCAAAAATTGGCCTTTCTCAACTTCATTCATCTCTGAATCTTCCTTCACTTTCTCACCAACATGTACAATTACTTTCAAAAACTCAATCCTCTGCTCACAGACCACTGATTTAAATTCTTGATGGCAAGTCTGGTTCATGTCAATAATTTGCTCCAAATCTTCCATTTATGAATTTTGAGCATGCAAAATTAATTTGGTTGGTGTCACTGGCAAAATTAGCATGGGTGACAACAAGCCAATGGGCAAAGCTTTCAGTTCGACCCCTCCCCACTCCACATAATGTCTCTTACCTTCCTTTACAAGTTTGGATCTAACTCCACATATATAACAACATGATGATACATAAATGTTTTCGCTTTTCATGCTAATTTCTTGTAAAGATCAATGCTGCCACTTCTATATTCTGAAATATTGTTCCTCTCACATGTGCTCTCTCTTTGCACTTTTTTATTCTCTTTACTATTCAGTTTGAAAATAAAAAGCACGTATTCCTCTTAAATTGTTTTCATTTTCCAAGTCCCTAACAATATCAATTTGCAATAATAGAAGGTCCGTAGTCTCAATCGGGACCCTCTACTACTCTTGGGGTCAATTCTTTTGGAGCTGTCATTCAAGTCTCAAATTCATATATTATCTAAAATAGATAAGTACTAAATTAAGCACAATTATTTATTTCCTGGAAATATATGTTGTATACATGTAGAAAAATCTCATAAATAAACTGTGTTCAACTTTTGCTTTGTATGCGTTAGTTCATGTCAAGACTTTGCCAATCTAGCATCAATTCCAATCCACTGCTAGCTGGTGAAGAATCTAGAATTAACCTTTTGTACATTTTCAACTTAATACTGTTGCTTAGATGATGAAATATCTATTCATGATAATTGAGTCTCAATAATTTTTCATTCTTGACCATGAACGAGTTTTAGTATATATCCATTGAAATTCATGCCACCAATCAATTGGCTTGTAGTTGAGTTTTGAAGAAGCAAAATTGACCTTTTCTCTATATCAAACAACCGTTGAATGAAGTCTTGTTTATAAAAATTACCATCATGATAAGAAATACCTTTAAAATTCTGTCCAAAAATATATTGGTTGCCGGAAATGATGTCCAATGTGATCTGTAGCATATTCACAATTCCAAAATTTACTCTTGAAAAAGTTTACCTTTTTTTATCATGGTTAACAAAGAGATTGCTCCTATTTCTGTTGTATTCTGTAAAAAGTGTGGAAACCTTGCTTTGACAGCACTTATGTAGGGTGGGAGTACATTAACAAAGCTTGATCATGTGTAGGCCTTGAACATCACTAATCATGGGGAAAATTAATATTTGAAGTCAATGAAAGAATAATAAGAGTTCAATTTTATTAACAACAGACTATCTTTTGTGTAGTACAAAAGATACCTATTTGTAAATATAAATAAATTCTAGCTATATTTTGAGAAGTTACTAAATTAGGAACTAAAATTATTAGAATGCTTGAATTAAAGGAACTTAAATCTAAACTAGTAAAAATAATAATGCAAGAGTTAAATTGTAATTAAAATTAAATAATAACAACATTAACACGAGACAAGTAATATCTTCCTTAATTTTTTTCCCTAGCAGCACATTTGTCTTCAATTTTTTCCATACCTGCAGATCTATTGTCAGCTATTAACTTTGAATTCATTTATTTTATTGCAGAGCCTTTACAGCAGTTGAGCTGAGGAAGAAGCTACAAGCAAAGAGATTTCCTCCTTATACTGTGGAGTCACTGTTAACTGATTTCCAGAGCAGGTGGATTACTAGAATGTCTTTCAAGCTATTCATTTTCTACGTGGACATTGCACTTTAAGCATGTGATAGAACTTGTTACTTTTATTAAGCAATTCTCTTACACTAGCATTGAATTGTATACCTTAGTGGATGCTGCATGCAAGATTTTGATATTTTCACTATATTGCAGGGGGTTGATCAATGATAGCTTGTATGCAGAAACATTTTCTCGATCTAGATGGTCTTCCTTAAGCTGGGGACCCAGGCGGATCAAACAAGTAAGCTGTCTTCTCCTAGTGTTAATTTTTCTTGTCACTCATGTTTGCTGAGTAACCTTGGAGAAAATACATCTGACAGTTTTGCTCTTTTGTTCATTATTTATGAGCTAAAACTTTACCATCCGGGTTAGTTGATAAAAATTCACTATAGTTATTTCTTTCCTGAGTTTAGTATGCTTGGGAACACACTTGCCTACACATGCACACGCGCGCACACTCTTAAAGGAGAGAGAGCAAGCAAGTGTAACCCAAGAATGTGATGAAATCTGGATGTATCATGTCATAACCAATATGATCATTCTTTGAATTAAACTTGGGGTGGGCAATTCAGGGCAGCGCGTCATTTTCATGTTATGTTGAGAGTTGGGCAGAACATTATATTGGTCAACATCCACAATACATAATTAATTTGTGGCTTAATTACAATATAATTCTGAAACTTTTCGCAAAATAACAATTTTATCACCAAATTCTTATTTTATCAGTCAAATGACTCAACTTGTTCAATGCTACAATCGTATCATGTAGCCGGTTGCAAGTCTTCGTGACCTGCTGTTTGACCCAAGTGTTGATGAACTTCAATAAATAAAATCAAAAAGTGAAAAGCCAGAAAATTAAAACCCAAATTGCACTGTTCAAGCAGAAAGCATCTAGTTTCTTGAGAATCAAACAGAAAATTAAATTTCAGAAGCCACTGTAAAAACCATGGGATTGCGATTTATCAAAATGTTCACCTCTTTTCCCTTGGTTGTTTTCTTGGGAATTAAACTTGGAAACCATAACAAGAAAACCATGAGACTGAGATTTACAAAAGAAATTCACTGTTTCTTATCTAAACCCTCTCTATCTCCTTCTGTCTCAACAAAGAAAAGGGTTCACTTTTCCTTTCGGCCAAATTATTCTTTTCTTCTATCGAGTCTTCTTTCCATTTTCACTCCCAAACCAAAGCTGAAAGAATCAATTTTTCCCCCACAAAATCAAATTTAAATTAAAATGCACAGCCACAAACCAACATTTCCTCCTGAAGTTTAACTGCCAATTAGGATGGCTAGAAGGTCACAAAGCCTTGTAACCGGTTGATGTCATTGTTCCAGTTTTAATAGTTCTCTCATTTTATTGACAAAATTTAAGTTTTGTGATAGAATGGAAAACAGATGTAAAATTCAGTTGTCTGTTTTTAATAGACCTACTCATGTATTAACACAAAACCAGTTGTTAAACAAGTAGTTTGCTTAAACTATTAACTTGCTAACACCCACTTGACACAACATTATCCATTTAGCATAATTTAGGTGATTGTATATGGATGCCCTTTCTTTATCTATTATCTGAAATTAGCAAATTTATTCTTGATATACATATTGACAGATTATTTATGTGAATCCTTTATGTGAGAGAGATTATTTATGTGAATCCTTATTATTATAATTTTTTGTCATAGGTGTGTCAATTGTGGATTGTCATGTCAACCCATGACTAACACAACTCAGTTATGTCCAATCATAATTATTTATGTGAAACCTTATTATATAATTTTTTGTCATAAGTGTCAATTGTGGATTGCATGTCAACCCATGACTAACACACTCAGTTATCTCCAATCAGAATTATATCAGAATGATTATGATAATAAACACGATAAAGCCAAACCCGATCCTTAACTTTGTTGTGTTTGTTTCGTGTTTACATTTTTCAAATAGTGTCCCTAGTAGTTTTTCAAACAACTTACCATCTAAGACAATTTTCTATGTTTGCTAGTGAATATTTTAATTTTCTATTAGATGGAAGAAAGTTTGTTTCATCTTCAAAACAGAAGACAGTAAAGGGAAGAATGATGACTGCAGACTGCAGACTGCAGTTAGACTTGGAACGCCTTGGTGTGAACATGTCATATAATTTGGTGGTTCAGTGTTACTCACTGCAGATTATATCATAACTGTTATTGATTAATACAATTAATATTATCGTGGTAATAAGCTGTAGATTTAGTAGATGAGCATTAGTTAGTGGGTTTTATCGTCTAGAAATGGGAAGAGAAGGAAATAGAACGAAAATAAGAAAGAAAATTAATGAATTTGTATTATATTGTGCTTAATTTTCAATGTGAAATGTCAAATAGTAATATTATAGCGGAATTGTTTAACCAGGCATTATTCAAGAAGGGAGTGAGTGAAGCAGATGCAGAGAAGGGAATAAAACTTGTCTTTGAGGATGATAAATGTGTGGCTCGAGAATCAAAACTTGGCATGTCAAAGATTTCTATGGATCATCTATTGGTTCAGGCTTCAAAACTGTGGCTTCGAGGTCAGGATGTTCCCGAAGAGACACGTAAATCAAGAATCATTCGATGGCTTCAGTACCGTGGTTTCAACTGGGGAGTTATTAGCTTCGTATTGAAAAAATTAGAATCTCAAAATTCTTCTTAGAGCATGATAAGGATCTCCCCTGATGCGATGCAGCACAAGGAATGTGGACATTCTCAGTTTTTGGCTAATGGTCCTGTCACTAGAATTATGAATTGCTCAACTTGGAGTAGTTGCTGTCTCCATTAACAACACACTGCTGTGGCCAAAAAATTGGCCACTTCACTCATTCACTGTGTTGAATTTCCTCTTGCGTCATCGTACCCCAGTGCTATCTAATCTTATGCAGAAACAAAGTCCATTCCAGTGCTATCTAATCTTATGCAGAAACAAAGTCCATTCCAATGGGAAAACATCTCCAAGACAAAGCATTAAGTGGTACAACTAGATCTTCATGATCGCTATTATTTTTACCGGTAATGGAAGTGTTCATGCATCGAGCTAGTGCAAGTATTTCAACCAAGATCTGATTTCTACTCAAGATAATCAAATATTCGGTTGGTGACAATATTTCGATTGGAGCTTTTTCTTGTTGATTTGATTAGGTATCAACTCTTTGGGTCTTGATAAAATTTAGCAAAATTATTGTACTTTATTGTACTAAATCACTATCCAATGGCTGCCAAGGGATACAATTATTAGGAACTTTAACACATGATTAATAATCTATTTAGCATCTTGACAAACCCTAAATTGGTTTGATGCTATCCAGAAATTAAAATTGAAATGGGTCCAAAACTTAAATACTTGAGAGCATGTGAGCAAGTTGTCTGCAGAACATAGTTATGCTAATGCTATTAATATGCAGGTATAATGGTCCTGGTAGTGCATGTGCCTTTGGATTAAGACATAAAGAGTCTTCTAAATTAAGGTTAGTAATGGCCATGGCTTGGATGTGTTTTTTTATACATTGTTGGAAAGTCTCTCTCAGACAGCACATGGACATGTGGGTGTAAGGAACGTGGGACCATGTGAGTCCTCTAGTGGAAAGACTGCCATATATAAATATTTATTTAAGATAGAAAGTAGAATAAAATTCCTTGCATTAATTAAATTATAATTGTATAGATCCAAAGCTACCAATGATTGGTCCAGCTTCTTGACGTTCTATAGTCATTCTCTTACCTTCAAAATGAGCTTTTTCTTGTTGATTTGATTAGGTATCAACTCTTTGGGTCTTGATAAAATTTAGCAAAATTATTGTACTTTATTGTACTAAATCACTATCCAATGGCTGCCAAGGGATACAATTATTAGGAACTTTAACACATGATTAATAATCTATTTAGCATCTTGACAAACCCTAAATTGGTTTGATGCTATCCAGAAATTAAAATTGAAATGGGTCCAAAACTTAAATACTTGAGAGCATGTGAGCAAGTTGTCTGCAGAACATAGTTATGCTAATGCTATTAATATGCAGGTATAATGGTCCTGGTAGTGCATGTGCCTTTGGATTAAGACATAAAGAGTCTTCTAAATTAAGGTTAGTAATGGCCATGGCTTGGATGTGTTTTTTTATACATTGTTGGAAAGTCTCTCTCAGACAGCACATGGACATGTGGGTGTAAGGAACGTGGGACCATGTGAGTCCTCTAGTGGAAAGACTGCCATATATAAATATTTATTTAAGATAGAAAGTAGAATAAAATTCCTTGCATTAATTAAATTATAATTGTATAGATCCAAAGCTACCAATGATTGGTCCAGCTTCTTGACGTTCTATAGTCATTCTCTTACCTTCAAAATGACAGGTGCTCTAACCCTACTCCGTAGATAATCCCTTCACCGGTATTTGAGATACTACCTCTTATCTAGTATATTTATCACATGTGGAACTAGATAAATATTTTAGAACAAATTATTTTCTCAAATGTGACAAGTATTATAAAATGGAGATAGTATCAAACAACTGTTTGCTTTTACTAAGATTGTGTTGTGTTCCGCAGCAGTTTTTTAAGTAATTTTTAGTCATAATATAATTTTTAGTCAAAATACTAAACGTTATTTTTTATAATGTTCGGTAACATAGCATTTGAACTAGCTTTTAGAAGTTAAAGTTTGAATTAGCTTTTAAAGATTAAAATAGCGTTTTATAGAGGTTAAAGTTTGAATTAGCTTTTAAAGGTCAAAATAACGTTTTATAAAAATTTAACCCAAATAACGTTTGGTTTTAGCGTTTTATGAAAAGCTATTTAAGTAATTAACAACTAAACACGCCAAAAATAGCTAATTGTGCGGAACATGGCCTAAATATTTGTAGTTAGAATATGGTTAATCATTTGCAATTAATGGCTAGCATTGGAAAGATCAAACATTATAAGACTAATTTCATTTTAGGATTGCACTTTCTTATGAGTGGCTCACTCAGATCCTCTGAAAATTCAATTATCTTTTCTTTTTCTATCTCTTTTAATCTTTGCTAATACTGTGCATCAGTAAACTGATTTTACTCTAAAATTAGTTATTACAATCTACAATACAAAATATGGTAAAAATTACAATTACTACTCTATTTATCTGCCCCATTCAAGTGAATGCCCATTCAAGTGAATTTTCCAATGAAAAATGTACAAATTACCCATGATACACCGACTCATCATCAGAGAAAGAAAAAGAGCAATTAGATGATCCCTGTGAAACTACAATCCTGGCAGGAGGGGCTGGTGTTGGTGATGGCGGTGACGGCGATCGGACTGTAGTTAAACCACCCTTTGACACGTCAGATTCCGGCCTCATTGGATCCACGTGGCGAATTTCCTTTAGCATAGCAGCCACATCTTTCATTGTTGGGCGATCATTAGGTTTGGGGCTGATACAAAGAAATGAAACAGCTATAGTTTGAAGCATTTCATGCATTGTAGGGTCAGCCCTTCCCCTAAGCTTGTGGTCAAGAATGTCAACTGGGTCTTTCTTGCGTGCTAAGTGGTCCCTAACCCACTGAACCAAGGGTGCACCACCGGGCAACGTTGGGTCTAATGGGTGTCTTCCTGTTAAAACCTCTAAAAGCACCACACCATAACTGTACACGTCACTTTTCTCTGTTATTCTCTGCATCGATGCATGCTCTGCAAAAGATCAAGAAAACTAAGCATCATTAAATAATTAAACTACTAAGGTTTGATCATTTAGACTTAAGTATACTCAGAAAACTATACCTGGAGCCATATATCCATAAGAACCAGCAAGGTGAGGTCTCTGACTTGGTTTAGCTAAATCATCATCAGAAGTACTGCTGACAACTCTTGCTAACCCAAAATCAGCTAAATAAGGTTCATAACCTGATCCTAACAGAACATTCATGGCTTTCACATCCCCATGTAGAATAGCAGGTAAACAATCATGATGTAAGTATGCAAGTGCATATGCAACTCCTAACACAATATCATATCTAGTTTCCCATTCTGCTCCTCCTTTACCAGCACCATGAAGAAGTGAGCTTAAGCTTCCATTTGGGAGATAATCATAGAAAAGAAGCTTCAGATTCCAATTCGAAGCCCACCCTAATAATCTAACAATGTTTTTGTGTCTGATTGAACCAAGTGTTTGAATCTCAGAACTGAATGCACCAGATTCTTCTTTTGACCACATTTTTTTTACTGCCAAAGACTCTCCATTAGGAATTGTGACCTTGTATACTACTCCTGAGCTTCCTGTGCCGATTACATTGGTTGTTGTGAGATTTCGTACAATTTCATCAATTGAGAAATCTAATTTCTGATACAAAGTCATTTCCCAGTTTCCATCTTCCATCAAAGCATTAGCATTAGCAATTCTGGTGCGAACAAGCATGTAGATTGCTAGTAGTACTAATACAGCACTTGCACTTAAGAAAACAGACATCATTAGCTTCATTGCTGACTTGGTCCGTGCTGCAGTCCCCATACTATCTGTAGATGATACTAGACCTCCAGAAATCAGAAGACCTGGGTTTGAAGCAAGGTCACTAAGTGGAAGCTTTCGAAAAAAGGGAGTGTTCGGTAATTCACCAGAGAAGTCATTGAAAGAGACATTAAGAGAAACAAGGTTTTGTAGATTTGTAAGAACATTTAAATTCCCTTGTAGCCTGTTGTGAGAAAGGTCAAGAACTCCTAGTTTAGAAAGACCAGAGAATTCAGATGGGATTTGACCGGAAATTTGGTTGCAGCTAAGATTGAGAGAGATTTCAAGTGCTGGAATTTGACCGAGCTCTTTAGGAATTTCACCAGATAAAGCATTATCTGCAAGATTAAGCAATTGAATCTTACTGCAAGATAAAATCTCTTCTGGAATTGTTCCAGAAAGTTGATTCTTTGCTAAAATAAGCTTGGTCAGATCAGTCAATAACCCAATTCTATGAGTCAATGGACCTGTAAGCCTATTATCAGAAACATCAAGAAACTGTAGGCTTTTAGGCAGAGAATCCGGTAAAAAACCACTTATCCCATTTGAATGAAGATCAAGAAACTCAAGATTTTCACATCCTGATATAGATACAGGGATCCCTCCAACAAGATGATTGATGCTCAAGTCAATGAAATTCAAGCTCTTCAACTTCCCTATCTCTGATGGAATAGTACCTGAAAATCTATTTCTATTTAGCCTTAACCTATAAAGGTTGGTACAATTCCCTATATCAGGAGGAATGAAGCCAGATAAATCATTAGAAAGTAAAAGTAACTTTGTAAGATTCTGCAGAGCAAAAATCTGCTTCGGAATTGAACCAAAAAGATTGTTATATGAAAGATCAAGAGCTTGAAGATTCTGGCACTCTGATAATGACTCGGGAATATTTCCTGTTAAATTGTTCTGCCAAGCATAGAATAAAGTCAAGCTATTTAACTTGCCAATATCAACAGGAATCTCAGCTGAAATGAAATTATTGTCTACTTCAAGATGAGTAAGAGCTATACAATTAGTGATTTCAACAGGAATAACACCTGTTAACTGATTTACACTTAACTGAAGCTCCTGAAGCTTGAGCAGGTTTTTAATACTGCTGGGTATTTTTCCTGTCAAAAGATTTTCTGATAAATCAATGACAGTAAGCTCTCTGCAGCTTCCAATCTCTTCTGGAATTGAACCTACTAAGCTGTTCTGCCATAAAAGCAGACTCTGCAGCTTAGTGAGTTCCTCTATCCGGCTTGGGATTGAACCTGATAAAGAATTCTGGTATAAGTACAAGTTTTGTAGCTCACTGCAGTTTCCAATCTCTTCTGGTATAGAACCTGATAAAAGAGTTGTATAAAGAGCAATAGTTTGGATTTTTTTAAGCTTTCCTATTGATGATGGTAAACTCCCAGAAATGCTCGTCTCCGCGAGGCCTAGTACGACCAAGTTGCTGCAGTTGCCTATCTCCATAGGCAATTCTCCTTTAAGATTTTTATTTCCACCTGCTCTAAAAACTTGTAGTTTGGTCAATGCTCCAATGCTACTCGGTATTTTTCCAGAAAGTTGATTATCAAAAAGAGTTAAATAGACAAGACTTGAAAGGTTCCCAATATCAGAAGGAATTTTACCTTCAAGAAAATTAGTATTGAGAGATAAAGTATGCAAATTTTTCAACTTGCATATTTCTACTGGAATTTCACCAGATAGAGAATTGTCACTAAGATCAATCAAACTAAGCTCAAGATAATCACCTAACTGTTTTGGAATGTTTCCTGTAAGATTTGTTGAAGAAAGGATAAGAGTTTTCAAGAATTTAAGTGAGTGAAAATTTGAAGGAAATGGACCTTGTAAATCCACTCCTTTTAAGCTTATCTCTGTAACCATGCCATTGGAATTGCAAATGACACCAACCCATTTGCATAGATTTGGGTTTGAAGGATTCCATGAAATAAGAGCATCTGTTGAGGTGTTTAAAGTGCTTTTCCATGTTAAGAGAGCTTGGGCTTGTTCATCAATGGAGAAACAAGAATGGAAAAGGAAAAGCGAGTTTAGTGAAAGAAAGAAGGTGAAAGAGAAGATATTAGAAGAAAGAAAGAGATTACTTAGAGTTGCAGACATTGTTGAGAGATGAGAACTGTTGATCTGTTTTGGGATTGTAGAGGGTGGAACCCCATGTTTTGTTTATAGAAGAAAAGCAGAAGATCTGGATCCAATAGCACACCTTTTTTATTTCATTATTCTTGTAATTGCTATAGTTGTTAATTGAGTGATGAGTATTCTTTTTCTATTTGGTTTTATTTAAGTGGATTATTGTTATCAATTTTTTTAATGGAGTTCTTCCTTTTCTAAAAAAAAACAAATATTTTATTTACCAAATAATTCCTATTTAAAACTTTAATAAACAAAATTAAAGGAAATCTGAGTTAACAACTGAGTTAACTTTTGTCATTTCGAAATATCACTGAATTAATGATCATTCTCTTATAATTTATGTGATATTGCCGATTCACATTATTAATTTATACACATCTATGAATGTAAAATTTTTTTTAATATATTAATCAAATTTGCTAAGTAATGGTATTTATTTATTAAAATATTCACCAAAATTTAATTTATTTTATACTGCCAAATTTTGTAGTGCAAAGAGAAAAATTACCATTTTATCCATCCTTTGGGGAGTTGTATTTTATCCGGTTTCCTCTTTATTGGTCATATGGAACCATCTGGTTTCCTCTTTTCGAGTCATGAAATGTAATTATTATATAAAGAAAATTATATATAAATGTTGAGATTTTTGATTGACTGATTTAGATAAAGTGAAATTCACCTTATCCTTTATCTATCTTCGTTGATATATTTATGTATATAATTTTTTTTATTTTTAATATGGAATTGAAAAATAAAGATAAAATTGTGTCTTACTCTTTTATAATCCAATACTGAAGTCTGGAAGTGGTCCATCAATTTATGTGGTCACAATTGTTGGACCATATGACTGTTAACTGTTGTACTTTTTGACTTTTCACTGTCTTAAGGACCATATTGTATTAGTTATTTTAATCAAGTGCCTATTTCATAATAATAATAATAATAATAATAATAGTACATCATTATTCATGGTATTTAAAAAATTTTATTTTATCTCTCTATTGTATATCTGTATAGAAATTTTGAGACCTTCGTATAATTTATTAATCCATTTAATTTTGACATCTTGTGAGATTAGGTTTGAATTTTTAATAAATTTTATGACTTTTTATGTCGAAATAACACTACGTGCTATAAATAATTCGAGTTTGAGTGAAAAGGACAATCAAACCATGATTGAAAATTGTACTTAAATATCATTAACACATATAATATAATTTATATATTAATCGATAAAAATTCAGATCCAATCCAAAGGAAAGTCAACTGAATTTTATGTAGTATGAAATTTTTAGAAGATAAAATTATAAAAAAAAAGAAGAATTATTATAATAATTTATAGAATTATTGTGAATTTTTACTATTTTTTTGGGATCCGCATTGAAGAAGAATGGGAATAATTCCCATTTATTTTGAATAATAATAATAATAATAATAATAAATTATGTAAGATCCATTTTTGTTTTATTTATATTATTGATGTGGGTGTAATATGGGAATCTGACGGAGACACATGTAAGAAAAGAATATGTGAAAATAAAATTATTTTTATAATTAATTAAACTGCAAATGTGGTAATGTTGTCTGTTTGTCTTTGCTTTAGAAGATTATTAAAATTAAAATTTTAATGGAGAAATTTAGAGCGGAAGGGACATTTCAGTTATATCACATCAGCTTCTAACATTTGTTAATTATTAAAATATATTTTTCACTAAAAAAAATATTTTACAAACAATTGATTCAATTAAAAATAGATGCAAAAAAGGTTATTTAAAATATTAATCAAACTAAATCAATTAGCTTATACATTTGAAATAAATTAAATCGGGTTGATTCAGTTTCTTTAATTTTTAGCTATTTTTTTAAATTTAACTCAATTTAATTTTAATTTTTATATATTTTTCAATTTAACAAAATAAAAATCAAACTAAAAATATTAAAGCTAAAATTATATCCATATTTTTAAAAGTTATAAACTTAATTTAATCAATTAATTATTTCAGGTTAAGAAAATGTGAAAGCGCATCTCTCTCTAAAAATATTATATTTTTGAGTGAATTCAGTTCAGTTAGATTTGGATCGTTTTACTCGATCTAATTAAAAGTTTTACAAAAAATCAAATGATGTATCAAGCAATAAAAAATTATTCTTATGAACTAAAGATTTGCTTTTATAATAAAAAATTAGTAAAAATTATATACCATCATAGGATTTAATTCAATTATATCGAGTTTCATAAAATCGAATTCACCCGTGATAGTGAACTAAAGATTTGCTTTTATATTAAAAAAGAAAATCTAGAATTTTAAATTAACTCTATCATCTATACAGACTTATTTTATTTTTTATATTATTTGATATATAAGGTAATTTTTATTTAATTATCTATTAGGAATAATGTTATAATGTTTTATTTAATTTTTAGTTTTCTACTTATTATATGAATTAAATATTTTATTTCTTAAAATAAAAATTTAATATTATTGATATTTACTTATTACTTTTTTAGCTTAAGCAATTTCGAACTTGAAGTGCTCATTATTTTCTGAGCTTAAATAGCTTCGAATTTTAGCACTCATCACTTGTCGAGTATAAGAAGCTTAGGATCTTAAGCACTTATTATTTTTCGAGCTTAAGCAATTCCAAACTTAAAGATGAGTTTAAGAGTTTTGCAACTTAATATTTCTTATGTTTTGAATTTAACCAACTTTGAGCTTGAAGCGCTTACTATTTTTCGAACTTAAACAACTCCAAACCTTAGCGTTCATCGGTTATTGAGCTTGAGCAACTCCAAGTTTTAGCATTCATCACTTTTCAAGCACAACAAGCCGGAGACATTAGCACTTTTTATGTTTTAAGCTTCAAGCTTAAAGCACTCGTCATTTTTCGAGCTTAAAAGCTTTAAAACTTATTTTCTGAGCTTAAATAGCTTTGAGCTTAAAGTGCTTATCCTTAACCAAGCCTTGTTACTTATCATTTATTGAGCTTAAACAATTCTGAACACTAGCATTCATCATTTAACTGAGTCCTAGCGCTTATCATTACCAAGTTTAAACAATTTTGAACCCTGACTCTCAAAATTATACAGCCAAAGATATATTGTTCATTAGATAAACGAGCTATCACACTCAATAGGTTCAAGCTATGTCTTTCATCTAAGATTCGAGTTTAAATAGCTCACCTAAAGCACAAAGCCAATTATCAAGCTTAAGTGCTCAATCAACAAGTATATGCATAAAAATCAAAAGCCAAGAAAAGGAAGAATCATGTCTTGAAAAAATAATTGTATGGTCAAAATCATTGAGCCTCCTAACAAACAAAAACAAAAATCAGTAAAATTAACACTAAATTTTATTAAATATTAATTAGGATTTATAACGGTCTCAAAGTTGTAATTTTGAAATTAGCTTTTGGCATTTAATAACTATAGCATGAAAATGGTTACAATTTGAAGTGACTGAACTTACTTATGGTGTGCAGAAAATAATGGGGAATTTTGGAAGCAAATTTCATTATGGTTTTGTTTGAAAATAATTTCCAAAAACATGTTAACAAGACAGCATATTTATTATGGATATTTAATGTTTTTATTTAAAAATAAATAAATAAATAAATAATAATAATTGCTAAGTAATTGATTGATTATTTATTATAAATAAATATTAAATGCCATAGACAAATCAAGGGTGGGCAATGAAATGAACAAGTACTCTTTTTTGCAAACTCTATCAATGAATTATAATGATGAGATCTCTTTTAATTTGGGTTGAAGATTCTTACCACAATAAAAACCCTGAATTGTTCATGCAATTTCCTGTTTGTATTGAATATGTCAATTAATGAAATGGACCCCCCCCTCCCCTCCCCAAGTGTACTCATTTGAAAGAGATTGAGAAAAGTTTTGAAAATTGTACTTTTAATATTTAGTAACTAAATACTTAGGCTAATACTGTATTTGGTAATAACTTTTAACTTCTTGACTTAAAAAGTTGTTTGGTAACATAGTATTTAAATTAGCTTTTTAGAGGTTAGGATAAAGTTTTGCGAAAATTTAACTCATATAATATTTAGCTTTTAGGGTCTATTTGACAATATTAACTGTTGCTGTTAGCTGTTTTGATATGATAGCTGTTAGTAGTTAGACAGTAGCGGTTAATTGTTAGTTGTTTAAATAGTGGTTAAAAGCGATAGTGTTCGGTAAAAGCAACTGTTTGATTTGGCAATTAAATTTAAAATGACAAAAAAAGAACATTGGACTTATAGTCATAGAATTAAGCTTATTATATATATATATTAGAATTCAATTCAATTTTATATATATATATAATGGCGACATTTTTGTGGCGAAGCCAAATGTTCATATGGTTTTGTTTGAAAATTTAATTCCAAAAAAACATGTTAACAAGACAGCATATTTATTCATCGGATATTTAAATGTTTTAATTTAAACCAAATAAATAAATAATAATAAATAATTAATAATTGGCTAAGTAATGATTTGATCTATTTATTATATATAATATTAAATTGCCATAGACGAAAATCAAAGGCTGTGGGCAATGAAATGAACAAGGTACTTTCTTCCTGCAAAACTCTATACAATGAAATGATAATGATGAGATCTCTTTTAATTTGGGTTGAACGATTTCTTACCCACAATAAAACCCTGCAATGTTCATGCAATTTCCTGCTTTGTATTGAATATGGTCAATTAATATGCAATTATGGACCCCCCCCTCCCCTCCCCAAGTGTACTAATTTGAAAGAGACTTGTCAGAAAATGTTTTGAAAAAATTGCTACTTTAATATTTAGTAACTAAAATACTTAGGCTAAATTATCTGTATTTGGTAATAACTTTTAACTTCGCTTGACTTAAAAAGTTGTATTGGTACACATAGTACTTTAATTTTAGGCTTTTTAGAGGTTAGTGATAAAGTTTTCGCGAAAATTTAACTCATTTAATAACTTATTTAGCTTTTTAGGGTCTATTTGACGAATATTAATCTGTTTGCTGTTAGCTTTTTTGATATGATACGCCTGTTAGTAGTTATGATCAGTAGCCGGTTAATTGTTAGTGTTTTAAAAATGTGGTTAAAAGC